AGTCGTGTAGGGCGTCTCAGCCCGCTTGCACGTCTCCGCGTAGGGCCTCTGAGCCCATACACGCGCCTCCATGAAGGCAACCCAGGCCGTATCGGAGCCTTCGTGGAGGCAGGCTGGGACGTCCTTCGCGAAGGCTTAGATACGGCCTAGGTCGCCTTCGTGGAGGCGCGTGTATGGGCTCAGAGGCCCTACGCGGAGACGTGCAAGCGGGCTGAGACGCCCTACACGACTGTAAGGGGGTGGGCTGAGACGCCCGTGGCTCAAAGGCCTCTGTAGAGGCCTCTGTCACCATTCGCGGAAGGCTTCACTGAGGAGGAGTGAATCACCTACCTCTGACCTTGATGACCACAGAGGACGTTCGCGAAGCAAGATCCTCTGATCCCATGACTCGGACTCAGACTCGCAACCTTCACGAAAGCCTTCACGAAGGTTAAATGGCTCCAAGTCATCTTCATCTAGAAGATCAACAAGGGCTTCACCGAGAGCTTCACGAAGCTACCACCTTTCGCCAAGGAAGTCTCCACGAAGGTCTCCCTATAGACGCCACCCGTCAGTCCGTTCACCACATTCATCTGGTCGATCCTCATACAGATCATCTAGGACTCCACCTCAGTCTCTATTGGAGGAACAGCAACACATTGTCTGTGAACCGATGTCAGAAGAGGAAGATGGTATCGTATTTTCTGACGCAGAAATTAGATATTGGATGGTGAATGGTTTGGAACTTTCCTCCCCGTCTAAGAACGAGAACTCAGCCCACACTTATCTTATGAAGGAAGATGATGCTGACACTATCTCCTTACCTCCTATTGACCCGATAGCAGCGGTACCAGCTAATCTGGATGACCCTTTTAGTAAAGCCACAAAGTCTCAGACAGCACATATGCCGTATTTCAACTCTAAGAAGTTTGCAGGTCACAACATGGAGCCATTTTACAAGGCTCAAGACATTGATGAGAACTTTAAGTTAATCAGTGATACCAAGTCCAAGACTTACAGAATAGATGACCGCAAGCTTGCCCAGATGGAAACCATATCAAGGAGGATGTTTTTTGGATTGAACAGATCTAGAACAGTCAATGAAACTCTCCTCACTAAGTTCAGAGACTCTACAGCCGAAGAAGACAGGATGATTTACTCGGCTCTCCTCATGCAGAAAAGAGACCAGCAGTTCCTAACAGATCACTTGACAGCACTATCTGCAGCTACTACTATGGCTCGTCGTCAAGGTCTCCTAGCCTCCTGTAATTGGGGTGATCAATTTACTGAATCACTCTACTCTGCCCCGTGGTCATCACCGTATATCTTTGGTGGTAACATAGACAAGGTCTCTAAGGAAGTCTCTAAAGACTCAAGAGAGGTGCTAATGATTAAGTCTATGGATACGTTAGCAAGCGTCATTAAGCAAACTTTGCTGAGATACTCAGGCAAGTCGGAGTTCTCTGGACTACAGAAAGCACGGGACAAGAAAATGGCTACTGTAAAAGGAACTAAGGAGTCTTTTGCCATACGGCAATTACAGGGGAGAATCAGCAAGAGGCAGGTCATCCAGAGGCTCCCGCACTTATAAACGATGAAGGACAGGTTTGGAACGACTGGAGCCTTCCACCCCCAGCCGTTCCAGTACAACCATCTCAAGTGGGTGGACGCCTTCATCTGCACTGGGAAAACTGGGGATTCCTACAAGATCCATATGTATCCAACATCCTACAGCACGGATATCAAATACAACTAAAGGCCAGGCCTCCGCTGACAGTCATCCCTCCAAGGTTCGACTTCCATCCCTTACAACTACCAAAGTTAAGAGAAGCAGTATCAACGCTCTTAACCAAGCAGGCCATAGAAGTTCTGGACCAAGTAAACATCGTCTTTTTAATAGAGCCGGAATTGAAAACACATCTCTACGTAGACGCGTCACTACAAGGTTGGGGAGCTCATCTCGCCAACAGGACGATATCAGGGTTATGGAGCCAACAAGAGAGCAAATTACACATAAATCTGCTAGAGATGCATAATCCACTGGAGCAACTTACTAAGGAATGCTCAGTTGATGATTCACACAGACAATTCAACAGTGGCGTTTTATGTGAACAAACAAGGCTCAACCAGGTCCCCGAACCTATTGACTCTATGTTTTCAATTGTTCGATTTAATCGACAATCTCAACATACATGTCAGAGCACGTCACATTCCAGGAGCAAAGAATGTTATAGCAGACACTCTCTCTCGGCCTCAACTACCTTCGCCGACAGAATGGATGCTCCATACAGAGATATTCGCACAAATTATCAAGGAAATAGGAGCTCCACTAATAGACCTATTTGCCACTCGCTTCAACAATCAGCTGACAACATTCGTATCACCAGTTCCAGACCCACTAGCATGGGCAACGGACGCACTAAGCATATCGTGGAAGGACTCAACGCTGCATCGCTGCCCGCACGCCAGCGCAATCCCACAAGTGTTACTCAAAATCAAGCAAACTCAGAGCCTCCAAATGATTTTGGTCACGCCCTACTGGCCAGAGAGAACGTGGTTTCCAACTCTTATTCAAGAAATCGGACAACCAATACTACAACTTCCAAAGTGCCCGAATCTGCTAATACATCCTCACACCAGACAAGCGCACGGAAAGCCAGAAGCATTCCCACTTCACGTATGGACTGTATTAAGGCGTGTCTAAATAAAAGAGGTTATTCAGCCAGAGCGGCGAAAGCAGTCACGCTTGCCTTGCGTAACTCCACTCGCCACTTGTACGATGACAAGTGGCACAGTTTTGTAAATTATGCTGCAAAGAAAGGATTTACAGCTAGATATGCTACTCATCCTCAAGTGGCTGACTACTTATGTTATCTACGTCAGACTAAACATCTAAAAGGCTCCAACTTATCTACATATCTTGCAGCAATAAGCTCTGTCATAACTATGAGAACGGGTGTCAAGTTAACCAAGACCCCAGAGTTACTGGCTTTACTACGTGCTTTCCGATTGGAGGATCAGAAACACAGATTTCACACTCCAGCATGGGACCTAAATATAGTGCTTCGACACCTCACAAGTGAGGCATATGAACCATTAGAATCAACATCGTTCGAATTTCTGACTCAGAAAACTTTGTTCCTGTTATCTCTAGCTACGGCAGCCAGGATGTCAGAGATTCACACACTAGATTACGAGAGAACACGCTTTGATGACATTCATAACATCGTGCATATGGGACTACGTTGGGATTTCATCGCCAAGAACCAGTTACCAGGTCAACCAGACAGGTTATTCCACGTCCCAGCTCTCTCATCTATTCTTGGACCTCATGATACGATGGATCTATCACTATGCCCAGTGAGAGCACTGAAAATATATCTACGCCGATCAAAACAGAGGAGACAAAAATTCAAGAGATTATTTATTCCTCTATCGACAGCTACGCAGACTGAAGTCTCACGTACTACTATCTCGATTTGGATCAGAACTGTCATACTACGTGCCTACAAGGTTGCAGGACTCGACCCTCCAAGAGCATCTAATCCTCATGAAATTAGAGCGCTAGCTTCTACACTTGCTCTTCACGGCAACTGCTCTTTGAATACCATAATGGAGGGCTGTTTTTGGAGATCGGATATGGTGTTTGCCAACCATTATCTGAGAGATATCACCACCGAGGACGTCTCAGGTATTCACCATTTCGGTCCCATGGTCCTCGCACAACAGTTGACAGTTCCCCGGAGAAGATAAGTCAATCTTACAGATTTTACTACTTATCTCATAACAGTACTACATAGCCAAAAACTCTATGAAGTTTACGCTATTATATATTTAGCTTAAGTTCAATCATAATCTTAAGCTCAGTACTATGGTTGTTATATCATAACAGTATATTAGCTAACAAACTCTATGAAGTTTATGCTATCATATTGTCAAGCTTAAGTCTATTTTAGTCTTAAGCATAGTATTCATGTTGTATATACTTTTATCATAATATTTATATTGTAATAACCCATATATGGCAGCTGATAAGTTAACAGCAGGAATTCATCAATTCAGTGCCTTTATGAAGTTCCCATAAGGGTTATTACAGTCAGTACAGTACAAATCACTAATTATCTAAATCCAAAGTATTCTGTATTCCCACCTCCGTATCCGTAGGATTCTACAAGCAAAATAGCAGTCAGGATAAGGAAAAATATGTAATTTTCTGAATAAAATTGATATTTTATACTTATCCTGACTCATGAGGTAAGCCCTCCCATCCTCCCCACATAACACTTTGGATTTCCCTGAAAATTCAAGTGTTGGGCTCACTATATAAGGAGAGAGTGAGGCACATGGCGGGAGGTGGCGCCCTTGTTCCCACGCATTTGAGGGGACAGATAACTCTTGGTGAGTACTAATTAGTGATTTTACATTGAAGGGAACTTCAATTGGGAGATACAAGTGTTCCACTGTGTTCGCAAGAAGAAGAAGACAAGCAAAATAGCATGAGTCAGGATAAGTATAAAATATCAGTTTTATTCAGAAAATTACATTTTTGTGAATGTGTAGAAATTAAAATGGATCTTAAGCAAAGACCTCAAGTACAGATGTGAAAATATAGGAAAGGTGACATAAGAAATAACCTCTTAATCAGGAATGTTTACAAAGTTTTCCGAGCCCTGACGGAGTTTGTCGAAGATAATGTGAGTAAAGACGTGTGACTGATGGCACTTTACATATGTGTTGTCAAGATGATGTTAGATGTATGTTATGTGTTGTCAAGATGATGTTAGATTATGTTATGTGTTGTCAAGATGATGTTAGATTATGTTTTTTCACCAAGATGATGTGAGATGTATGTTATGTGTTCATAACTCTCTCCTTCATTTGACTCTTTCAGATCCATACTTAAGACCTTCCTTTTCCGTGAACACTATGACCTTTGAACTATGTGCCGCTTTGAGCATACTCGAGAGTATGGAATCTAGCGGGAGACCACATCATTATTATTATTATCATGTGTTGTCAAGGTGATGAGACTACCTACTCCTCACTGCCCCCCTCCCTACTGAAGAAGTTGTGTGACATTCAGGGCGAGGAAAAGCAGGCCACTTCAGGCTACACTCACGGCGACCTTGTGCATATAAAGGGCAAGGTCAAAGTCTTTAGAGAGGTCAATGAAATCACAGCATTATATCATGGTAAGGTTTGAAGGATATCCATTTCAGTGTCCTGTAAACATGTCTTTTAGCGGCATTTAGAAGTTGTTATAGATAACCAAGATATTTTATGGATTTAAGCTTCTTTATTCTTTCCGACACAACGTTTCGCGGAATCGTTACAGATCCCTTCATCAGGTGAAGTGACAGCTGACACTATGATGTCGACACTGATGTCAGCTGCTCTACCTCCATGTATAGGATAATAAAGTACAGTTTTGCCCTGAACTATTAGTTTAAAGCACGAGGACGCAACCATTTATTACAAAGTGGTGGAGCAGACTGTATTTCCTAATAAACAATAACAGTTGGGTTTTTTTTACTTTTTGTTTTTTGTAATGCCACATAAAACAATATTCCAGCTATATGACACTGGTATGTAAACATATATGTTTGGACTAGACAATCCAGTGACTGACATCATCATAAGCATCAATCTGACAATGGCATGCATCAACTGATGCAGTGAGCCTGACTGCCCACTTAAGACATGCAAGGGTTTCTGAAGACAAACTCAGACTTATCTTTGCTGGGTAAGCAACGTCAGTAAGACACACCATTGCTTCATTGGAGGAGTGTGAAGTCCATTGCTGGTGTCTCCTGCCGTGATATTGCTGGAATATTGCTAAAAGCAGAGTTAACCATACTCACTGACTCACTCACTCATTTGAGGATGTGGTCACATGCGTTGCCGTGATACAAAAATGCCAGAAATCTATGAATTTGGTTTGAATCCTGGATTGATTGTGTTTCAAGGTTTGTCAGCTGACATTCTGTCTGACTAAAGGGGTAAACGACCATGACCTGTATCTCTCTCATTGTTCCACACGTATCAGCTGACATTCTGTCTGACTAAAGGGGTGAACGACCATGACCGGTATCTCTCTCATTGTTCCACACGTATTTGCTGACATTCTGTCTGACTAAAGGGGTAAAGGACCATGACCTGTATCTCTCTCATTGTTCCACACGTATCAGCTGACGTTCTGTCTGACTAAAGGGGTACAGGACCATGACCTGTATCTCTCTCATTGTTCCACACGTATCAGCTGACATTCTGTCTGACTAAAGGGGTGAACGACCATGACCTGTATCTCTCTCATTGTTCCACACGTATCAGCTGACATTCTGTCTGACTAAAGGGGTGAACGACCATGACCGGTATCTCTCTCATTGTTCCACGTATCAGCGTATCAGCTGACATTCTGTCTGACTAAAGGGGTGACTAAAGACCATGACCTGTATCTCTCATCATTGTTCCACATCGTTGTATCAGCTGACATTCTGTCTGACTAAAGGGGTGAACGACCATGACCGGTATCTCTCTCATTGTTCCACACGTATCAGCTGACATACTGTCTGACTAAAGGGGTGAACGACCATGACCGGTATCTCTCTCATTGTTCCACACGTATCAGCTGACATTCTGTCTGACTAAAGGGGTAAAAGACCATGACCTGTATCTCTCTCATTGTTCCACAAAGGGTTATCAGCTGACATTCTGTCTGACTAAAGGGGTGAAAGGACCATGACCTGTATCTCTCTCATTGTTCCACACGTATCAGCGACATCAGCTGACATACTGTCTGACTAAAGGGGTAAAAGACCATGACCTGTATCTCTCTCATTGTTCCACACGTATCAGCTGACATTCTGTCTGACTAAAGGGGTACAGGACCATGACCTGTATCTCTCTCATTGTTCCACACGTATCAGCTGACATACTGTCTGACTAAAGGGGTGACCATGACGACCATGACCGCTGATATCTCTCATTGTTCCATTGTTCCACATATCAGCTGACATTCTGTCTGACTAAAGGGGTAAAAGGGGTAAAAGACCATGACCTGTATCTCTCATTGTTCCACACGCGTATCAGCTGACATTCTGTCTGACTAAAGGGGTGACGACCATGACCATTTGTTCCTGCGTATCAGCTGTATCTGTCTGACTAAAGGGTCTCCATGACCGTATCTCTCTCATTGTTCCACACGTATCAGCTGACATTCTGTCTGACTAAAGGGGTGAAGGACGACCATGACCTGTATCTCTCTCATTGTTCCACATCAGCTATCAGCTGACATACTGTCTGACTAAAGGGGTACAGGACCATGACCTGTATCTCTCTCTCTTGTTGTTCCACACGTATCAGCTGACATACTGTCTGACTAAAGGGGTAAACGACCATGACCTGTATCTCTCTCATTGTTCCACACGTATCAGCTGACGTTCTGTCTGACTAAAGGGGTACAGGACCATGACCTGTATCTCTCTCATTGTTCCACATGACGTATCAGCTGACATACTGTCTGACTAAAGGGGTGAAAGGACCATGACCTGTATCTCTCTCATTGTTCCACACGTATCAGCTGACATACTGTCTGACTAAAGGGTACAGGACCATGACCTGTATCTCTCTCATTGTTCCACACGTATCATCAGCTGACATACTGTCTGACTAAAGGGGTGACAGACCTGACCATGACCTGTATCTCTCTCATTGTTCCACCACGTATCAGCTGACATTCTGTCTGACTAAAGGGGTGAAACGACCATGACCTGTATCTCTCATTTGTTCCATCAGCTGACGTTCTGTCTGACTAAAGGGGTGACAGGACCATGACCTGTATCTCTCTTGTTCCACACGTATCAGCTGACATTCTGTCTGACTAAAGGGGTGAAAGGACCATGACCGGTATCTCTCTCATTGTTCCACACGTATCAGCTGACATACTGTCTGACTAAAGGGGTGAACGACCATGACCGGTATCTCTCTCATTGTTCCACATGTATCAGCTGACATACTGTCTGACTAAAGGGGTACAGGACCATGACCTGTATCTCTCTCATTGTTCCACACGTATCAGCTGACATACTGTCTGACTAAAGGGGTACAGGACCATGACCTGTATCTCTCTCATTGTTCCACACGTATCAGCTGACATACTGTCTGACTAAAGGGGTACAGGACCATGACCTGTATCTCTCTCATTGTTCCACACGTATCAGCTGACATTCTGTCATAGTAGTAGAAAGTTAATGCTCAAAACAATGTCCTGCTTGATCACACCAGTATGTTTCTGTTCAAGCCAGGGTAGATAATCCTACAGCAGAGAATGTGCGTATGGTGGAGCTTCCCAAGCTGTACAAGATGTGTTATGACAAACCCTTCGAGCTGCCTCACAGAGTGAAGGCGGAGCTGGACATGATGAAGGAGGAAGACACGACTGGAGTCAAGAGCCGTGTGAGTCAATGAGTGAGTGAGTGTTTTAGTTACGCCGCTTTCAGCAATATTCCAGCAATATCACGGCGGGGGACACCAGATATGGGCTTTACATATTGTACCCACTAGGCTACCCCACCACCCGTGAGTCAATAATGGGAGGGAGCAGGGGTTTGCACATTTTGCCCACTAGGCTACCCCACCACCCGTGAGTCAATAATGGGAGGGAACAGGGGTTTACACATTGTACCCACTAGGCTACCCCACCACCCGTGAGTCAATAATGGGAGGGAGCAGGGGTTTACACATTGTACCCACTAGGCTACCCCACCACCCATGAGTCAATAATGGGAGGGAGCAGGGGTTTACACATTGTACCCACTAGGCTACCCCACCACCCGTGAGTCAATAATGGGAGGGAGCAGGGGTTTACACATTGTACCCACTAGGCTACCCCACCACCCATGAGTCAATAATGGGAGGGAGCAGGGGTTTACACATTGTACCCACTAGGCTACCCCACCACCCATGAGTCAATAATGGGAGGGAGCAGGGGTTTACACATTGTACCCACTAGGCTACCCCACCACCCGTGAGTCAATAATGGGAGGGAGCAGGGGTTTACACATTGTACCCACGAGGCTACCCCACCACCCGTGAGTCAATAATGGGAGGGAGCAGGGGTTTACACAGACCTTGAAAAAAGAGAGTCATGGTGACCCACTGTATTTCTTTTTGGGAGTCATTTTCAATGTTTATGTGTGTATATCAAAAGGCAATGATTTTATTGTTTTGTGTTGTATTGTTATTCATATGTTAGTTAATAAACAGTGTATGTGTCACAGTTCAGTTCAGACATAACAAACTCGAGTATACTGAACACATAATCAGGCTTGTGATTTAGTCGCTGCAACATACATGAATTGAAAGAAAAAATCTAAATTAATGAAGACCTCACGAAAACTATCATTGTATGCTTATCAGATCAATTTTTTTTACTCTGGACTGAATTGTGAGGTTAACTCATAAAACTTGCGTCAAGGTTGACTCGTATGATAATATTTTGAGAGTCTTTTACAAAATTGTTGCGTCAAATATGCAGGAATCATGCGTCATGTAAACCCTGAGGGTGGGGAGGACAGAGGGCGGAGCTAAACATGGTAAGGGAGGGGAGGGCTGAGGGCGGAGCTAGACATGGTAAGGGAAGGGAGGGCTGAGGGCGGAGCTAGACATGGTAAGGGAAGAGTATAAACATAACTGAAGGACGAATAAACAAGAAAGTCAATGAAGGAGTAATATTTAAACATTTCTCTGAGAGTGCACACACTGCAATGATGACATGTGCTCGACACCTTTGAATTCCAGTGTGCTTGGGTATGATTGCCTGTTGGGTTCAGGTGGTGCTCATTATTTATATTACACAATAAGTTTGTCCCAAGCAGCATTTAACATAACCTATTTTGATTGGTATCAGAGACGGATCATCCAGGAAGTAGGTGTGGCAGTAAGTGAACACCTTCGTACAGCACCCTCTGTGACAGAATTTACTGCCAGTCAGATGTGTCGCCTGCCAAACATCGCTGCCATTCTTGCTCAGCAGCAGTCAATGGTGAGTGAGGAACTAGATGAAAAAACTGTGTTTATTGGATCAAGCTGTCTAGATCAGTTATTGAAATTTGGTGGTGGGTGTGTGTGTGTGTGTGTGTGTGTGTGTGTGTGTGAGAGGTTCAACCATGTTATACATGCTCTATATTGTAGCAAATGCTGCTTCAGCAAAACAAATATCATTATGATGCCATTTCCTCATTCGTCACCACTTGCCCCTTTCCGTAACCTCGAAGAAGACTTGTCACCCTCTTGATGCTTGTTATGTGTGAAAATACGACAAACCAAAAAGTCATGAAAAATATACATCGTCATTTTGAAAGTGCTAAGAATGTACCTAACAGAATTGTGCTGTCTAATGTGAAGTTTTTTTATTAGAATCATGCGATTGACAGTGAGAGATTCAAATACATGTACACGCACATGTGTTTGTTGGCATAGCGGCTCTCATGGGTCCAACAGAGTGTATTTCTGATGATCTTGCGGGCTTGTTTTGCAGATTGTACATATGTTTCTTTTCTAAATATAATTATTTAAAATAATATTATATCTATATATAACTGATCAACGTTAATCTTTAACATTGTGTTTATATTTCATATCTCTGGGAATATTTTAGTCTGATCTTTTGGAGGTCATATTTTTTTCAGTGTATTCATTTTAATATCCTACCAGGGCTATGGCAGCAAGGTTACACAATGGTCAGTTTCAGAACTATTTTAAAGTCAGTTTTGAGTATTCGCTTTGGGATTTGATGTAGCTGAAAAAAGATTATTTTATTTGCATATTCAATAAAACAAATCTCAATTGTGATTCTTACACCCTATTTAGAAATAAACATTTGGATATATAAGGTGAACAGCTGGTTAGGATTAAGTTAGAACATTTCTTATACAAATATTTTTCTCCTTTTTAGTTGTGTCAAAAAGGTTTATTTCATTAGAAGAAATGAATAACGGAAAAAACTAAACTACCCAGCAATACGATATACAAGTGCATCGGTGATATTAGGTACCATTAGAATCAAACAGGGATAGAGTTATCATTCTTGTTTTAAGTAGTTCTGATGTTCATATGCCATTATGAAATCCTTCAAGAGGAGCACGAGTCGCTATTCGGCTCGTCCCGAAATAACACGAGTCGGTCAGGAATGAACATTTTCTGTCTATTTCAGTTCCAATTTGTTGAAAAATTAACTCCTGAGAACCAGTGAGTGAGTTAGTCAGTTGGGTTTTACACCACTTTTAACAATATTCCAGGAATATCACAGCGGGGGACTCCAGAAATGCCTGGTTTCATACTTCGTACCCTTTTAGGGAATCAAACCGAGGCCCTCGGCATGATAAGTGAACACATTACCCCAGACACCCTCATACTTTCTTTTAACAGTCAAACATTGTAGTTTTTTATCGAGGTGGGGAAATTTGCACATTCACCTGATTTTGATCTTAATTTGTATCAGAAAATATGTACAAGTATTCTCAAGCATGGCAATATCAAACGGATCATTGAAGCATCATGCACGTTAAACTTGTGACAGGATAGATCTTATTGACAATACAGACATGTGAGAGATGTGTCGATTAATACACCTGAGAGATGTGTCGATCAATACACCTGAGAGATGACTCGGCCATTACACCTGAGAGATACGTCGGCCAATACACCTGAGAGATACGTCGGCCAATACACCTGAGACATGTATCAGCCAATACACATGAGAGATGTGTCGGCCAATACACCTGAGAGATGTGTCAGTCAATACACCTGAGAGATATGTCGGCCAATACACCTGAGGCCCCAAAAAATAAATGTTATGGTTCCGATTTCCTACATTTCAGAACTAGGGTAGGTAGGTAGGGTTTTTTGGGTTTTTTTTCAAAATATTTTTACATTACTCATCATGAGTCATGTGTCAGAAAATAAATTTAATTTATTTTTTGGGTGAGTAAAATTGTTAGGCTCAGCGGGAATATTTAGGGTCGGTCGGGAAATCGGAACCACAAGCATTTTTTTATTAGGCCTGATAGATGTGTCAGCCAATACACCTGAAAGATGTTTGACAAATACACCTGAGAGACATGTCAGCCAATACACCTGAGAGACGTGTCAGCCAATATACCTGAGAGATATGTCAGCCAATACACCTGAGAGATGTGTCGACCAATACACCTGAGAGATGTGTCAGCCATTACACCTGAGAGATATGTCAGCCAATACACCTGAGAGATGTGTCGACCAATACACTTGAGAGAGATGTGTCAGCCAATACACTGGAGGGATGTGTCAGCCAATACACATGAATGTGTGGCCAATGAGAGACCTGTGAGAGCCAATACACCTGAGAGATGTGTCAGACCAATACACCTGAGAGAGACCAATACATCGTGAGAGATGTGTCAATACACCTGAGAGATATGTCAGCCAATACACCTGAGATACACCAATACACCTGAGAGAGATGTGTCAGCACCTGATACACCTGAGAGATATGTCAGCCAATACACCTGAGAGATGTGTCAGCCAATACACCTGAGAGATGTGTCAGCCAATACACCTGAGAGATGTGTCAGAGATGTGTCATTACACCTGAGAGATATGTCAGCCAATACACCTGAGAGATGTGTCAGCCAATACCAATACACCTGAATATCTTAGAGATGTGTCGCCTAATACACTGGAGAGATGTGTCCGCACCTGAGAGATACACCTGAGAGATGTGTCGACCAATACACCTGAGAGATGTGTCAGCCAATACACCTGAGAGATGTGTCCACCAATACACCTGAGAGATGTGTCAGCCATTACACCTGAGAGATATGTCAGCCAATACACCTGAGAGATGTGTCGACCAATACACTGAGAGAGATGTGTCCGCCAATACACCTGAGAGATGTGTCAGCCAATACACCTGAGAGATGTGTCAGCCAATACACCTGAGAGATGTGTCGACCAATACACCTGAGAGATGTGTCGACCAATACACCTGAGAGATGTGTCAGCCAATACACCTGAGAGATGTGTCAGCCAAAACACCTGAGAGATGTGTCGGCCAATACAGAGAGATGTGTCAGCCAATACACCTGAGAGATGTGTCCACCAATACACCTGAGAGATATGTAGACAAATACACCTGAGAGATGTGTCTGCCAATACACCTGAGAGATATGTCAACCAATACACCCGAGAGATGTGTTGACCAATGCACCTGAGAGATATGTCACCCAATACACTTGAAAGATGTGACACCCAATACACCTGAGAGGTGTGACAGCCAATACACTGGAGACATGTGTCGACCAATACACCTGAGACATGTTTTGACCAATACACCTGAGACATGTTTTGACCAATACACCTGAGACATGTGTCGACCAATACACCTGAGACATGTGTCGACCAGTACACCTGAGACATATTTTGACCAATACACCTGTGAGACATGTCGACCAATACACCTGAGAGATGTGTCAGCCAATACACCTGAGAGACGTGTTGACCATTAAACCAGAGGGATGGCTTGCTTAAGACCAGTTCTAGCCCGTTAATAGCTTTTAGTGTGAGACCTCCTGATTTGGCATGTCTGGATCTGACCCCCTAGAACAATGCTCATGATGTCACCCTCCTGTTTTCCTTGTACTGATGTCATTAATATACAGGTCGCTAAGGTATACATGGAATATGGCACACTGTGGTATACATGGAATATTGCACACTGGGGTATACATGGAATATTGCACACTGTGGTATACTTGGAATATTGCACACTGTGGTATACATGGAATATTGCACACTGTGGTATACTTGGAATATTGCACACTATGGAATATACATGTGAACATGGAACACTGTGGTATACTTGGAATATTGCACACTGTGGTACACTTGGAATATTGCACACTGCAGCACAAGCAGCCAAATGAGAATTGATGAATAGGACATACAGATGACATACTGAAGTGTGTAGCATGAAGGTCCACTCCACGGCTGGTCCAGTGATCTGTTCATGATGTACCTATCCTGTTTGCTTGTGCAAATAGTATAAATGTTAGGAATCTGTCTATATAAAGATTACAGAACTATTCAATCTTTTCTTTGATGATACACAAGGTTTGCATCCAGGGGAACATTGGGTTGCTATTGTTTTGTAACATGTATGAGCTTATGAAGTTGGGATATGTCAAACACTTGTCAAAAACGTTACCAAATGGATTTTGTCTTCTAGCACCAGTTAGATGTATTTCATACATCAACTATGTAAACACTTCTCTGTGTGAAGGAGATCCCAAGACAATGTCATGAAGGCGTGGCTCCTGATTCAACACTTCTCTGTGTGAAGGAGATCCCAAGACAATGTCATGAAGGCGTGGCTCCTGATTCAACACTTCTCTGTGTGAAGGAGATCCACATGATCACTGGGATTCCAGTTCTTTCTCAAATACACAATTAATGTGTCTGTACTCGACCATCTCCGTGGTCTGTATGACTTCAATTCCCGGAGCAGTGACGCACACACGCATGCACACACAAAATATCCATGAAGCGATTGTGCAGTAACGTACGTTCTAAAATCAGAAAATGTGTTTGATGTTGAAGGAACAATAACACACCCTTCAACAATACAGTAAACTTCTACGTTTATTTCTGTTGCTTAAAGATGGCATGAATATCCAAACAAATTAGTTTGCTTATCAGAGTTGCTTCCCTTAGCAGCACATGACTCCGATAATCCTGGCTGGTTGGTTGGTTGTTTAACACTACTGTCAGCAATATTCCAGCTCTATGGCGACGGCTGATGGTCACGTGAGCTCTATGATTATGATCACTGGTATGTAAGTACATTCCTATGCAACTCTGTTTCACCAAAGTGGCCAGCATAGAATACATGTGTCGCTTTGGGCTTCCTCTTTCAAACATTACCAGTGGTGATTGTACTAAAATACTTTCCAAAGCACTAATCTCAATGTACTCTCTTCCACTGACATTGTGCCAACACGGATTTTCCTGCACTCAGAAAACTCATTAAGATTGCCTCATATGTTAACAGCAACCTGTGGGCATTCTTGTTTCTTCTCTCCACAAATACAGTCAGTATATTGCAAGTTTTCTTCCTGGACAGAGGGGGTCTGTTTATTGTTACCAAGATTCACCATGGTTACTATGGTTACAGTTCAATATTCTTGTAATAGGGCATGCACCTGGCCTCGGCCTCCGCTGGTGAGTATATTGGATTATAGCCCAGCAGTTTCCTGGCTTTCTTACTGCTGAAGTATAGGTTCATGTTGATATACCGGACACTACAGGCTGGGGTAGACATGTTGATTCTCTTCAAGGGAGACAACCACCGCAGGACCATCTCCACAAAGCACATGCACCCATACACTAGGGAATATGGGAGATATATCTTGGACAGCGTGAATCCTCGACATGCAAGATAGGGAGACAGGAACTGGAATGTGTTAACCAATGGGGTATTGTCTGGCACAAAGTATGGTAGACCTCCAACGTTTGGGTCGTACTTGAGCGCCATGTCGGCACACAGGAATGCCCAGGCTGTGTTTCCTGCATATGCTTGTTGAAAGAGAGCTCGGCCATTGCCAACTCGCATCAGCGAACCACCAGACGATTTGGCGTTTCGTAGGCCAGCTGTGATGTAATAGGGGTCTCCCTCACCGTACATGACATTGGCCCTCAGTGCAAGCGTCCTCAACTTGTTTCCTTTTAAGAAAAAGTGAAAATACTACATGGCCTTTATGTTGATTAAAACTGATATGACATAATAATCCACTATACATTGAACCATTTGATATTCTTGGATGGAGAGGGGCTGTTAATTTTAGTAATAAACAGTCCAGAGTTACTGGGGACAATATTGTCTATTAAATCTCCAAGGATCATCACATTAGCCAGAAAAATTAAATTAAATTAAATTCTTCAATGCTGATTACAGAGAGTGGGCTGTTCTACAAGGCAGAATTATGACTCTGTTATATGAGAGTCTAAAGGCTGTTTGCTCCAAGACCCTACCCTCCCTACCATTCTCTGAGTACTGGCCGTTGGATGCCAACACAAGGGTCTCCGCTTTATACTTGGTCTCCGGGTAGCCAGGAAACAGAAACTTCTTTGGTCGAACTGTTGAGTCCTCGTCCCCATCGATGATGTCCTCATAACCTATGACAACATCTACGGTGCTGCAGAAATGGAGACGCTCAACATTCTGTTGAAGACATGCCTTGATCACTGTGGCAGTTCCTGAAATGATTCAGACTGTTTTGTAGATCAGAGAAGGTATGAAAGAAAGTGAAAAGTGCTGCACGTTGCAGATACACCCCACTTTGGTGAAACCCAACTGGATGATGATAATTCTGACACACCAGGGATCATTGAGGCAGATGTGGGAATAGAACTCGTAGCATGAGATCCTGGCACAACTAAGGGACGCAACTCTGTGGACTGGACCACAAGTCCGCATTTACACATGGTAAGGGAAATTAACAATAAATAAATTTGTTGATGTCTAAATGTCAACCTGGTTGTTGGAAAGGGTGAAAAACTGACAATTATTAGTTTTATTTCATTTTGATATGAAGACAACACTGCAGGAACAACAACTTCTTGTCATGAAAGTTTGCTATTTTGGTAAATGAAAAATTACATTTTACAAAATATTTAGCTCATGTTTTAGCAAATTCTGACAGTGACACACAAGTGCAGATCTAGGTTAGAATATTGATCTTCAGTAACCCATGGTTGTCTTAGAGGCGACTAACGGGATCGAGTGGTCAGACTCACTGACTTGATTGACACATGTCTTCGTTGCCCAATTTCGTACATCGGTGTTCATGATGTTGATCACTGAATTCTCTGGTCCAGACTTGAAATGTTGATACTGAAGTATTGGTAAAAACGTTGATGAAGGGAAACTCACCATTCACATTGATTTCTTCCATTCCATTGACGTCTGGGAAAGTGCCAAAGCTCACAAGTCCTGCAATATGGACCACAGAGTTAACTCCCTTGCATGCATCCAGGACGGTGTTGAGATCGGTGATACTCCCCACTGTAGAGATGACTGGTTTGGTGGTCGGTGTTCCTGGAAAAACAAATTATGTCATGAACGTGGTGACATTACTGCTGCCAGGATGGTATGTGAACACTGTCACAGGAGGCAGAAGGAGGACATGACTGCTGCCAGGATGGTATGTGAACACTGTCACAGGAGGCAGAAGGAGGACATTACTGCTGCCAGGATGGTATGTGAACATTGTCACAGGAGGCAGAAGGAGGACATTACTGCTGCCAGGATGGTATGTGAACATTGTCACAGGAGGCAGAAGGAGGACATGACTGCTACCAGGATGGTATGTGAACATTGTCACAGGAGGCAGAAGGAGGACATGACTGCTACCAGGATGGTATGTGAACATTGTCACAGGAGGCAGAAGGAGGACATGACTGCTACCAGGATGGTATGTGAACATTGTCACAGGAGGCAGAAGGAGGACATGACTGCTACCAGGATGGTACGTGAACACTGTCGCAGGAGGCAGTAGGAGGACATAACTGCTGCCAGGATGGTACGTGAACACTGTCACAGGAGGCAGAAGGAGGACATGACTGCTGCCAAGGTGGTGTTTTGAGATCTTATGTGCCACACTGCCCGGCCAGGTCATTGTTACGGAGTGTTATGCCAATCTCTTCCACAATGATGTTTTGTAAATATGAACCAGAATTAGTTTTTCAGGACCCCATGCCTGTTTTAAGAGGAAACTGACTCTGTTCTGCAGTCTGGATCACTGACCTTATTGATGAAAATCATCATATCCCAATCACATATATCAATGATCATGGTGTCAACGACATTATTGTAAGATCAAGATCTGATTATGTGCAGACTACTTTGCTAAGTATGGCATTAAACTGTAAATAAATACATTTCTGGCTCTACCCCTGGTGATTGTTGCCAATGATGGTGTCTGATCTGGACTTGTCACTTACATCCTGCCTGAGACGATGTGTGACCACCATAGTTCCTTGCCTCACTGCTCTAACTTACCAAGAAAGTTACTGTAGGGCTTCACATCCAGCACTCGGATCTCACGTACATGTGGCGCTCTCTGTTGGAGCAGACTGACAACATGGTTTCCTAGGAAACCAGCTCCCCCTGTCACCAGAACAATGTCGCCACATACAGAAGGCAGGAGGGAAGAATTAGAGGTCATCCTGAAATCACAAAGTAGCATTTAACTTCAATATGGCTACACATCAGCCATCTTTGATTTTTAAAACTCTTTATTTTCAATCTGGTTTAGTGGTGATTGCCATATTCCTATAAACATGGTAAATAGGAATCAAACTAAATGAAATGACCCTGATATTTATACCTTGATTAAAGGTGTCAATTGCACATTACTCTCATGACTAATGCATATTCATCAGGTGCACTGTCGTATAAATGATAAATAAAGAACCGACTGAAATTAGGTAGGAATTTGATAAAGAACTGAACTTTGACCCATCTCTTGCAAAATAAGAATCATTTTATGAAAGGCATTGATGAGATTTAATGTCATCTGTTTTTCCCCTTGGCTGTTTGAACAGAAAAGTAAGCAGCCTTATTATCTGGGTCTTCTCCATGACTTCTAAGCTCAGTGATAAGAATAGATTGTTGCTCCTGACATCAATGACTGGTTTACGATCACCAGTAGCTCACACATTTACACACAGCTACAACCACTTAGGGCGGTGTGGTAGCCAAGTGGTTAAAGTATTCGCTCATCAAGCTGGGTTCGATTCCCCACATAGGTACAATGTGTGAAGCCCATTTCTGGTGTCCCCCGCCATGATTTTGCTGGATTATTGCTGAAAGCAGTGTAAAACTAAACTCACTCACTCACTACATCCACTGAGGGAACAGTGGGCTAGAATAAGTCCCCAACAGGCTATGCTGGACAGATTAATGGGTTGACAGGCTGTGAATTGGTTGAAGTTGTGGATCGCTGCTCATAATATCAACCACTGTAATGTCTGTTCAAGGCACCACTGTAATGTCTGTTCAAGGCACCACTGTCAGGAATGTTCCAGATTGTGGTGTTAAACAACAAACAAAATCATATTCTGACCTATACAGAGAATGTATGCGCATATGATGATTATGATTTCAAGTTTTGGTGCAGTTTGTTTCCAGTATATGTTGCTTGCATTCATCTGGCATTTGTTTTGACTTGAAGTACACCCCACGACAAATAATTACCATGGCGATGGGTACAGATGACTTTTCCCGTTTTGATATTAAGTACAGTCCTATTTTATAAAATAGTATCTTCGTTTAACTTATTGCATGGTTACCATGGCAACTTACTTCACGCTGAGGCTGTTTGTAATGATGTTGCTCTGTGCTGAACTTTGCCAGAACAGGGAACTCAGTAGACGAGCAGAGAACATCGGAGTTGTCTGGAAAACATTCAGTTGTCATGGTAACAAAGTATCTCAATGCATGACATATCTTGAAGCTGTATCTGTCTTTCAACAGTCACTGAATGGTAACCATGTGTACATAACATTGAATTTCTTTTTTAAACAATTATTTAGGGTGTTATTGAGTATTTGAAGCACGGGAATTCATTTGGAACCAACAGCATTAGCAGGTTTCAAATGAAATATTCCGTGCTTCAAATACTCAGTAACACCTGGAAATTGGCCAGCACATAATGTTTATCGACATTGTAAACACAAAAAACAAACCAAAAGGCCCACATGGGTTTTACTGTCTGCACTCATTGACATCGGGTACAGCAGTGAAATGTCATCAGCCGGCCGCTTCGGGCTGTCTCCCATGGTAGCATCTGGAACTGCTCATTTGTGACATCATTCCAACTTTACCTCACAATATGATTTGAATGACATCACCACTGCTGATGGCGCAACAATACAATTGTGTGCGATATTTGTATGCGTGTCAATATGCAGTGAATAGTCTTGCAATGTCTGGAAACTAAATACTATTTGATCATGTTTTGCAACCAATTACATTAAAGAACACGGTGACTTTTTGGTTTACAACCGTAATTTGTGTGTGTGTGTGTGTGTGTGTGCGTGCGTGTGTGTGTGTAATAGGAAGGGCGTAGAGAATATCTTCACTTTCATTATAAGGATCAAGGTATGATAGAGAGGAAATGTAGAGTTGCCAAAGTATTGCAGACTTGCTAAAGACTTTCAGATGGTTTTGTTTCAGGACCTCAATGAGAATAATATAGTACAAATACTCACAGTCTGTGACTTTAACTGCTAGTCTCAAGCCTGAGTCTAGTAACAATCTGCTTCGATCTTGTAAAGGTCTTAATATGATAAAACTAAAACATAGTGGCCATGTTGTTAAGAGCCACAGTCCGGCACATTGGCACAGAGTGTCCATACTTGAATTGTATGTCTGAGACTGATGTATACATTTATATTATGCACATGTTTTGTATTTTCAAATGATGTGAAATTTGATTTATAATAATTTAAAAATGGTATGAAGTATCCTGTATAGTAAAACTGTAGTAAGTTTGAAATACAAAAACTAAATAAAATACTCTCATGTAAAAGAAGAACAAAGAAACAAATAACTTACAAAACTTTGATAGGTGATAACTGAATATATTGAGTATATTTATATTATATCCAACTCTGTGAGACAAAAACAATAGGAAATACAAACTTACCAGTTGAGAGATAACACCATGGTTCTGTATCGCTGATGAACTGACTGCACTCAATGGCATTGTAGTTGGAGACAGACAGAGCTGGCATCCTTGTTGTAATTAATGCCCAGAATCAGACAAATAGACCTGTAACATCCACCGCCCCCTGGTGACAGGGCTCAGGTGTGTTTACAGCGCCCCCTGTTGGGCTACTGGTCAACACATCTGCACGTGTTGTGATCAGAGTGTTGATTAGATTCACCCCTGATGAGATGTGTCGCCAGGTCGGATATTGATTATGTGACAATTGGATATAGTTTTATGTATTGAGTTGACGTGTGTCTTGATTAGATAAAAACATACATCATGTAAAAATCTCATGATCCTCATCATTGTTTTAGATAAAATTGTCTGTCAAGTGTTGAGGTGAAGATTCTCTCTGTGTAACTCCAACTCCTTAATGTTATAATTCATGTTTCTAGTTTTCATAGCTTGAAATGTCAGACTTTTACAAAAGGTATTGTTCTTCGGCATATGTTTTCCCAATAAATGATTGACACATCTTTTTAATTTTAGATATTTAAATCAGGATTTTGTCCTTCAAAATTTATATTTAGAAAAACTTGAAAGCAAAAAATTTGATGTTAGATTTGAGTTGTTTGTTTTTAAGAGCTCTTTGTTTATCATTTTCAAGCACTTTCGATGAATAAGAATATTTCATATGGTAAACGGTTCATTTTCTGAAAAATGACAGGACAGGTTACATGTTATCATATTCCGATAGCATGGACTGTTTTCTTAGCACCTTACCGCCATGATATTGCTGGAATATTGCTAAAAGCAGCGTAACACCATACTCACTCACTCACTCACTCTCTCTTTGCACTGTATGCAATGTTAACAATAAAGAAGCTTATTGATTGCAGAACTGCTAATATTGGCTACAGTCTGGATCATCGGTAAGTAGCTGGACACTGCTGGGCATTTAAATGAACCTAAGATAATATTTTGTAGGAGGAAAAACTAAGTCACGTTTCCATGGTAACACAAGCTCTTCAGAAGCTGGAGGAGGAGGATGGGACGGTGTGTCGCCGTATGGAGGCATTTGGTGACATACAGATTATCGTCATACACTGGATTGTGGCACTGAGGTAGGACAATACATCATTTGGTGACATACAGATTATCGTCATAAGCCAGATCAACAAACTCGACCCTCTGACCCCAATGAAGCAAATGCTCTGACCACCATACAATCACCCCTATACATAAGGACCTCAAAAGACTCTCTGACCCCATCCAACACCTGAACACCCTGTCCCTATCCCAGACCATAGGACTCCTTTGGCCATTGTGACTGAACACTCTGTCATAAGCCAGATCAACAAACTCCTGAACACTTTGTCCCCTATAAACCAGACCTCTGACCCTGACCCCTAATAAAGCAGATGCTAAGGACTCTCTGAACACTCTGACTGACCCCTATAAACCCAGACCATAGGACCACAGGACCCCTATAAACCAGACCACAGGACTCCTGACACTACCATAGGACTCCTGAATACCCTGAACCCTATACCAGACCATAGGACTCCTGACCCCTATAAACCAGACCACCAACCCTGAGGACTCCTGAACACATAAACCAGACCATAGGACTCCTGACCCCTAACCAGACCATCTCCTGACCCCTATAAACCAGACCATAGGACTCCTGAACACTCCCTATAAACCAGACCATAGGACCCCCTATAAACCTCCTATAGACCAAAGGACTCCTGAACACCCTGACCCCTATAAAACCCAGACCACAGGACTCCTGAACACCCCTGTCCCCTATAAACCAGACCATAGGACTCCTATAAACCAGACCACTCTGAACACTGTCCCCTATAAACCAGACCACAGGACTCCTGAACACTCTGTCCCCTATAAACCAGACCATAGGACTCCTGAACACTCTGACCCCTATAAACCAGACCACAGGACTCCTGAACACCCTGTCCCCTATAAACCAGACCATAGGACTCCTGAACACTCTGTCCCCTATAAACCAGACCACAGGACTCCTGAACACTCTGACCCCTATAAACCAGACCAAAGGACACCTGAACACACTGTCCCCTATAAACCAGACCAAAGGACTCCTGAACACCCTGTCCCCTATAATCCAGATCCAAGGTCTTCTGAACACTCTGACCCCTATAAACCAGACCCCTATAAGTCAGACCCCTAAAACCTAGTCCATAGGATGCTTGCTGTCACCAGAATCACCAAGCTTGACCACCAGATTTTATGATCAGCATGGGTTGCTGGGGACGGCTCATGACCCAGAACGCCCATTGTGTAGCAGAGAAGAATCCTATAATTGCATATTTTGTATAACTAAGCTCTTTAATTGTTGCCAATTGGTTGCAACACACTGTCACCACATGAATATCACACTGAGACATTCTTCTTCTCCTTCTTCTTCTTCTTCTTGGGGCGGTGGGGTAGCCTAGTGGTTAAAGTGTTTGCTCATCACGCCAAATATCCAGATTATATTCCCGACATGGGTACAATGTGTGATGCCCATTTCTGTTTTCCCCAGCCGTAATATTGCTGGGATATTGCTAAAATCGGCGTAAAACCCAACTCACTCACTCTTCTTCTGGAACAGAGGCTACATCTATGGTGGTTTCACCATGTTGGACACTTACTGAACCTGTTCGATTATTTATTAGTGTGAGCAGAGATTTGGAAAGTATGTTGTCATGGTGACTTGTATCCCTCATTACAGAATCTGCATCACAGCAAGGCACTGAAAACGGCCATCTTGAACTTGCTGGTCAAAGAATCTCAGAAGCCGAAGTGTAAGAATCACCAGTCAGGTGTTGTTGTTTGTTTGTTTAAAACTTTGGTTGTTGTTTAATGCCGCACTCAGCAATATTCCAGCTGTATGGCAGCGGTCTGTAAATACTCACCTCTGGACCAGACAATTCAGTGATCAACATCATGAGCATCGAACTACACAATTGGTATACGATGACATGTGTCAACCAAGTCAGCAAGCCTTTACCACCTGGTCATGTTAGTCGCCTTTTACGACGATTGTTTGTAGTTTACCAAGACACTATGCAATATTGTAATAATATCAAAGTTGTATTTGTTTCAAAGTGGTACCTGCTGAAGTAACGTCACACTAGTGTGTTCTGTCACCGTGTTTTGTTGCAGATGCGGAGCGTGGGTGCCATTACCTGCACATCCTGGATGAGCTGCACAGGACCGTCAGTACTCCAAACTCCACCAAGCGGCCCTGCTGAACTGTCTGCAGACACTTGAGACACAAAGTGATGTCATACGCACTTACCACAAACAGTACCTTCCTTGTGTCACCTGACATCTGACCTTGACCTCATCTACACTGGCGACACAAAGTGATGTCATACTCACTTATCATAGACAGTACCGTCCTTGTTTCACATGACCTTGAACATCATTTACACTGGAGACACAAGTGATGTCCTACGCACTTACCATTTGACCTTGACCTTTCTACACTGAAGATGTAAACCATCATTTCTGACTGCAAAACTATATGCACCTTGCACGATGTGTTTCCTGTGTTACGCGACATTTGTAAACATGACATGAGCAATATCAGTTACTTTCTTTATGAAACATTCATGTAATGTCTGTTAAGATGCTGATATACTACTCAAAAATGTTAAAGATCAGTAGATTCTTTCATTTTGTGATGATATTCCTTGCGTTGTGCTGTAATAGGTAGTCATAACGTGACAGATTACCTATGGTTGTGTAATTCATTGTGATACAGTGTTTCTATCAATATTCGGGAGAGGCTAGTGGTGTGCTGGTTAAGTCAACAGTAATATGGAAGCTCCTGGAGCAGCTAGCTGGAGTGAGTGAGTGACTCAGTGAGTGTGGTCTTACGCATTTAGCAATTTATCAGCAATATCATGGCGGGAACACCAGAAATGGGCGTCACACACTGTGCCCATGTGGGGAATCGATCCCGGGTCTTCAGCGTGACGAGTGGACGCTTTAACCACTAGGCAACTGGAATAACCCAACTTAATGAAGAAATTTCTAGAAGTTCTTTTATATGTATAAAGGGGAATGCCCTGTCTCACATAACATGAAGCGCCTGTAACTATTGGACAGCTGTGGCCTGTTGTTGTTGCTGAGTGAATGGCATCACAGACTTTTCTGCAAATTTTTTCAATCTTTATTTCGTACTGAAGAGGCCACAGGCCTTTAGTACATATACATATATAATGGGGAATTACAAAAAATAAATATATTTACATTACAGTGATAAAACTTTTCTAAAAATGTTCTATACAACATTGCAGTGTGGATGAACATGGCAAGATTTTGTAATATATTTTGATTTTTACTGCTTATAAGGGTAGAGAATTTTATGATGCTTGGATGGATATAGTAATATCTTTTAATGTATTTACAACGTATTGAATTATATGATGGACAGATGAGGAGAAAGTGATATTCATCTTCAATTTCATTTAAACGACAAAGTGTACATATTCTCTCTTCTCTTTTAACATTTTTATATCTGCCGCTTTCAATCAACAAATCGTGAGATGAACATCGGAATCTTGCTAGTGGTCGCCTAAATTTCTTTATATCAACACATGATAAGTATACTTCATTGAATAGATCTTTTTTAAATTTTGAATAGTAAAAACATTTACTTGACAAAGATATTTTCTCACACCATGTTTGAAGATATATGTCTTTAAGTCTTATGGTTAACGACTGAATGAATGACGCGTATGTGATTCTACATATTGTGCATTCCAAACGTTTCCGAAGCCAATAGAGAATAAGAAGTTCTTAACATGAGATGTCCAATTTCTTTGTCCATTTTCATCATACAATAACATCATATTATAACATTTTTTCGGTAACCGATATGAAGGCATATTTAACAGTTTTAACCAATATTTGACAACTTTTATGCTTGTAAACAAGTGCATTGGATATCTGCCACATTCACCGTAAACTACTGCATTAACTGTATTCAATTTAACACCAAGATATTTCTTGCATGCATACAAGTGTATTCTTTCTATTTGATGAAAGTCTGCTGATCCCCAGATTTCTGCTCCGTCACGTCAAAATTGGGTTTATCTTTGCATCAAAAATCTTAAAAAGGTTTTGTAACTAATATCTCCAAGTGTACTTACTGTCTTCATAATACCAATAAGTGCCTTTTATGCTTGGCTTGAAGCATATTTGACATGCATGTTCCAAGACAAACCATTGGTAAAATACAATCCCAAATATTTATAATAGCTAACACAGTCTAGATGTATACCATTAAACAGCCACTTTTCTTTTTTAGAAAGTTTACCTCCCTTTTTAAAGACTATGATTTTTGTTTTCTCTCTGTTTACTGTTAATTTCCATTTATCGCAGTAATGTTCGAGTTCATTTATTTGATTTTGGAGGCCACTAACGGTGCTTGAAAATAACACAATGTCGTCTGCAAACAACAGAAGGAAGATTTTAAATATTTCTGGGTGAAGGACTAAGTATCCATCCTTGCCTTACACCAAGTTTTAATTCGAACGTTTCCGAAAATTCTTGATTATTTTTACTGCCATTACCAGTTTGCTTTGTTTTATACTGCAACTCGATTTCCCTTTGCAGCAATTTGTAAACCTAAGTAATTTTATAATACAAATGTTAATTTTAGAAAATTTCCTTGTTTGTTGTTTTCACACTGAATTCTTTTGCGTCGATTTCTAAGTTGCTTTATTGTTTCAATTCAGCACAACACGCAACAATATGTAATAATCGAGTTGTCATCAACATCATAGTGATGATTGGTTAGTTCTATGTAAAGCAGGTGTGTGAGTGAGGGAGTGTAGTTTTACGCCACTTTTAGCAGTATTCCAGCAATATCACAGCGGGGATCAGGTGTGAGACTTCATAGGGATCACTGATGAGGCTTCAGTACCCACCATAAATTATGATAATGCCAGACATTTTCTAAAACTTGATATACAATCTGCCAGCTCAAACTCATGCTGTTGATCACTGGATTGTCTGGTCCAGACTCGATTATTTACAGACTGCCGCCATATAGCTGGAATATTGCTGAGAGCAGCGTAAAACTAAACTCACTCACTCAAAAAATACGAAATGTGAAAATAATCGTACAATGCAGTAGTTCATATTTCATCTACCATGAATATGTAAAGAGGTAGAAAACAAACTTTTGTTTATGACTAACATCAACCAATGATAAAGTTTGTGAAGGCCCAGTTTTTTTTGTGTTATGTCATATAAACAGCAACAGTAAATAAGCTGAGATCTTTTTTTATCGAACAGGGCCTTGGGGTACCATTCCCTGCAGTAGCTCCACCAGTGCTTGAACTGCTGTTGTAGAGAATCCCCGATAACTCCATGTAAAAACACTTAAGGTTTTGTATGTTGTATTGTCTAGATTTACAGGCAAGTTTTACATCTGCATCTGTGATTTCCTGGTTGTTTTCAATGTAGTTCGTCAACAGGTTTTTAAATTTTTGGTTTATGTGTCATGAATGTATAATTTGTGTCAGTCACTAAATGGCTGAAATACTGCCGATGTGACTAGAAATCTTAACTTGCTCAACTCATGACCTGCCCTGTTGTCTAGAATCCCCAGTACCACCATGTAGACTTCCAGCAGGACTTCCCCCGTCAAACAAAAGCATTTTAATCCAGCTTAAACATCACGTCTTGTTATTCTAAACACCCATGTAGTAATTAAGCACCACCCTATTTTGAAATACTACCGATGTGACTAGAAACCTTAGGGTATAGCCATCAATTTAATCAACCTATTGTTAAAGAAGCTTTATCCATTGACAGTTTTACAAATATCATAACCTTTTCTATTCTTTATGAAAGAATATGTTGATGAACATGTGATGGGACTGAATTTTAACCCAAAATAACTATTCCTCTCCTGCTCAAACTACACAATTAAATTAAGTTTTGACTAAAAATAACAATTCTGTTAAATAACAAGATGACATTTACACATCAAGTAAGCTTTAATTATGCATAATCAGGAAGAACCTGAATGTCAAAGATACAGACCTTTTCCCAACAATTCAGATTGCTAATTGACAAAAACTCGAAAAGGCCACAATAATAAGATTTTGGAATAAATCCTTTATGATTTTGAGTTTATTGTATTGGGGAATAAACACTTCTCCTTGCCGGATACTGATAATTACAGCTAATTCTGTTTGTGTTGTTTGTAAAGCTACTGTTACTGCATTTTAATATATTACGTTTTTTAGTTTGACAACTTTTCCTAAATATTAGTTTACAAACTTTCATCCATTCACTTAAAATAACAAATTTATAGGCCACATAACAATGAATTATTACTTTCACTTTTCAAAATAAGGTAACTTGTTTCAGGACAGAAAAACACCTGTTTTAAATATAGGCAATTATCCTAATTAAAGTACATGGTAATTTCAATGATGTTTTCTTTTTTGAAATGTTACATGCTTGCTCTATCAAATTATAAGGGCTATTTTTTCGAAAGTTTAGAATTTCATTTCAGACAAAATTAACTGGTAAAAATACAAGGTTGTATTTTATGCTCGGATGTATATTATATGTACCATTTGCTTGTACAAAACTGTATGCACAAAAATAGATCCCTGCCTTTCAATGTGAGATTCAAAATGAACAAGAAAAAGTCAGGATGACCAAGATTCTAATGGTGATATTATTCCTGGTTAAAATACAGGTTTCAAACAACTTGATGAAGAAATTAACTGGGGATTCAGGCACGTAATCCAAGCTGTGTGGACAGATACTGTGTTGACAATCACCAGATTGTCTGTACCAAGCTCTATTTTTTCAAACAGCCATCATATACTGGTAACTGGATTATTAAGTGTTTACGATGTAAACAAACAGAAATGTGCAGCTAAAATTGCATGGACATTCTTGTCCTTAAAAGAATGCAGTTTCACAAACAAAAAAGAAAAGCCCTCCACATCTTGGTATCCTATACCAAGTCAGGGATTTATTTATCAAACCATATGATACAATTGAAGTTCCAACTTGACAACATACAGGTCAAGAAAAAGTGTATAAAAACCATACACAAGTTGCGTACATAATTTGATGATAAAACTGATCTGGTTTGACTGTTTGCATGATTCTCTGAAACCTACGATACAGTCCATGTAGACGCAAACAGTGAGTTAGTGAGGACTTTTATGGCAGTTTTAGCATATTCCAGCAATATCAAAGTGGACAACAGAAACAGGCTACACACACTACCAATGTGAGGAATCGGGTCTTTGCCATGATGAGCAAACACTTTAACCACTAGGCTACCCAACCACCACTGTGGAGATGAATAACTTGATACAGTGAGGATATACTGCTCATATATACCTAGGCAATATTGCTGTTATTCTCACTGACTAACTCATTCAACATGACTGACTGACTGAGTTTGGTTTTACGCCACTTTTAGCAATATTCCAGCAATATCACGGCGGGGGACACCAGAAATGGGCTTCACTCATTGTACCCATGTGGGAATTCAAACCCGGGTCTTCGGCGTGACGAGCCAACGCTTTAACCACTAGACTACCCCACCGCCCCCATTTAACATGAAGGAAAGGATCCACAATAGCAATACTGCAGCTTTCACAACAGTTTCAACGATAGCATAGGCTTTATAAATCTGTTTGACACAATGTGACGGCTCACTGAAGAATTCCCAATAGGGTGTCAACTGTTTACAGCTCAGTAAGTCACATTCTGAGTGAGTGAGTGAATTAGGTAGCAAGCTAAGTTAGTGACATTCATGTGTTGTCACCGAAGGGGGCACTAGAATGTACCCATGCTGTTGCCGTATCATCCTTCGGAAAACATACATGTGATACACCCAATCAACGATAATTTTTTTTATGTACCACACAGTTTTATGTTTTAAAACAGTGATGCGTGCTCTTTCAGTGTGCATCAACAAGTACCTTGATGAGACACTACTCTAAGGCTGACAGTGTCCTAGCTACAAAATCGTACCAGTATTCAGGCTCTGCCCAGCTTTTATCATCCAACCAAATTCACTGTTACAAAAACGGCAGTTGACGGTAACCTCAACTCATGCATTTACAGATTCATATCGGCTGACAAAATACACTACCAGTCAAGACAAAGCATCAGTGATTAAACATAAATCGTTTGTGAAATAAGAATCTAAAAATGTTCACTGTATTCATCAAAGAGCACGGACATCATTGTGTGGCAGCTCAGCATTCCACTCTTTTATAGTGACTGTGTGAGGGACTAGCATAGGGCTGGGACGGGTCCAAATTTTCTACCCGGGTACCCCACCCCCAGGTGTTGAGACGGGTACCCAGGTTCAACTCATTACCCACCCCAGCCCTAGACTTGCAGCTATATATACTGGACAAAAATAGTTAGGGATATATGTAAATTTTGAAATTAGGAATAATGATGTATTTATTCATTGACACATTGATAAAATATCAATCATACAAATACCAATATCCCTAACTTATTTTGTCCAGTATATCTGCAAAGAGGAAATGCTCTGTAGTAAAAGCAGAGCAGCAGACATTTCACTATGATGAGATAGAACCAGTCTACGACTAAGCAGGACGGAACCAAGTTGTAGTATCATTAGCACCAACAACCTAAAGATTAGATTGGCTAATTGTAATTTTCAGACCCACCAGAGAGATGTCAGATCATGTGTGATGTGTTCAGTACCACAGAACAGCATTCAAAGCTGTCACATCTCGTAGATCAACATGAGAGGAAGTCCCACGGTGACAGATCATAGGCATTTTGTGGAACACAGTAGCACAGGCATACTCCCCATGGAGAAGAGCATAACAATAAATGTACACTGATTCTGATGCAAGCCAGATCGATCGACTGACCGATATTCAGTCGATCACTCCAGCACAACAACAATATCGCTGCAGGGGACTGAAGAAAAGAGCTAGACAAGATACCAGCAAGGGATTCGAACCCACATCACTGGTGTGACTAGCTTTCAACACTACCCCACCATCACTGTTTGAATGAAAACTTTGTGAAGGTAAACTTCAGTACCTGTGACAAATTACCAGCCATCCACACAGGTGCTGGAAATCTGGAATCTAACAAACTCAAGTTTACATTTACAAAAATATTTCGAAAATAAAAAACAATAAAATATTTTGCACCTGCTGCCATTTCAATATCAATGCCATCATAATCAGATTTATTTCTCTCGCCTGTGATTTGTTCTGCCCAGCTGTCACATTATCGTTGTAACATGTTCACAACAAGAGAAAATAGTGTTATGATCTTGCTTCAAGGTTTGGACTTTTACAAGTTATCGAAAACTTCAGACCATTTAGTTGAATTGCTTCTAGAAAAATGCTCTTTGAATAAAAGTTGAAATGAGGAGCTACATATATTCAGCATATTTCAACTGTACACAGATTTCTTCATTCTTTTTTTCACCTGAAAAAACTACGAGAGATTCGTTGATGAAATAAGAAAATACATGACGTCACCTCGTTTACCATCAATATCATCAGTATTAGTACCCCATGGATACCCCAGACACCAGGTGTCAAGCTGCGCTGGTGTCTCAACCATGCACTGAACCAGTCATCAGCTGTAATGTATATTGACATTAGGGGTTATAGATCAACCAGTTAGAAAGGGTGTTCACAGTGAAATGTGCAGCACCAGTTTTCAGTATTCTAAACACATATCGATTCCCAATAACCTCTAGATGCACTTTCTTTAATTCACTGAAAGTGCAGTTTGTATGATTCCGGACTGAAAAAACTATACACTGTCATAGCTTAGAAATACAACATGGCTGCCCCCGTGACACGACTACATTTGGTTTTGGATTAATCATCCTTAAGACAAAATGGGGAAGTTACAACTTAAAAAAAACCTTGTAAAACATTTTACTCATGACTGATATCCTGAATTACTTTCATATGAAACTGTTTTGTGCAGCAAGGAACTAGCATTGAACAACTCATCTACATTGGCTGTCAAAATGGTGATGAGGCCAGACCAATGTTATTTCCTGTTTCACGGATCCACTGTCGTATTTTTTTCAAGAATAAGAACAAAAATAACAATTAATTTTCCCTGCTCAAAAAATAAAATCGTCATGTTTTATATTGGTCAAAAATGTAAGTTTGATTGTTTTTTGCCCCATATAAACTTCATAAATTGCCAAAAAAAAAATACTGTTAGTATTTAAAAGGAATATTACTTTGACTGGTGATTTTTATTTTGTATTTTTTTCCCTCCTGCCTTTAGGTTTTCTGAGGACAAAAATACATAAAACAAGAAATAAATTGGTCTGGCCTTAGCAAACTTCATCAACAACTGACAATACGAACCAGTGCTTCACACACAAACATATCAATCAGATCATATAATCAGCTGTACTGGCGATGATACAACACTGTAATTATTGAGCAAAGTAAATACTCCCATTAATCAGTGACAACTGTTCTGTAACTGAACACAAAGCATATAAGCTATGTATTCAGCAAGTTAGGCATTTCTTGTTTTAATACATGATTTTCATATCAAACTGCAAAAACTGACATACAAAATAAAACTGAAACGGAACACAAACTTGTACAGTTGCTCACCAGAACCACGAGGGAAGGGAAGTAACTCTGATATAGTTTTCACTTGAACCATGATCATTGATCTGGTTTTACATTTATTTAAACTTACTGACAGAAAATAAATTAAATGTCATGAAAATAATTGGGGAATTTCCGTGTGAAAATGTCCAAAAAATAATAACCATCCCTCGCTAGTTTTGTTAAGCAATATGTCATTTTTCATTAAGCCAAAGCAAGTTCCAATTCCGTAACAGCAAGTAATTAAAACAAGAGGCCTAACTATGTTGAGCAGATGTCTGTATGTGTACTATACTGCGTATGGTACAACAACCTTTGGCAATTAGTTTGTGATACCTTACAGTGATCAGACATATTGAATACACTGTAACGATGGTTAAAGCAACAACACAACAAAACAAAAACACTATCTGCTATATGTCATCTATCAAACAATTATCTAGTCAACAATCATGCAACATCTGATTATACGTGTTACAATGCCATTTTATATAAAGTATATAAAGTACTTTCACTGGCTATATTAATTATAAAAATAATACAAAAAAATACAACAGATGCATACACAGGTATAGTGTTCACTGAGTTTTGTATACTGACAGTAAGGTATTTCATGTTGTGAGGTAATAAACTTGAGTATTTGTTCTGATACTGAAATTAGGTAGTAAATGGTGCAACTATGCTCTGCAAAAAGGACGTTACTGCCAAGGTCACACATGACTACTCGTGCTTGACCATCCCACTATTGTGCTACTCAAAGACCGCTTACCAAAACTGAGTGAGTTTAGTTTTATGCCGCTTTTAGCAATATTCCAGCAACTTAACGACAAGGGACACTAGAAATGGGCTTCACACATTGTATCTATGTGGGGAATCAAACCTGGGTTTTCGGCATGACAGGCAAACGCCTTATGCCCTAGGCTAGCCCACCACCTCCTGCTAATCCAGGAGGTAATAGTGTAGTTAAAGGGAGGCAACTCTGTTGGTGCTGTAATCTTTTTTCCTGCATTTGACTCTGAGTGGCAATTTCAAATGCATACATTCATAATTAATTCCTGTTTTATTACATTTATATACTTCCTTTCAAAAGTTTAGACTCACTTAAAACACTGATTTCTCCACCAGCTTGGGGGAACCAAACACAAACCTTAGGCAGATGAACTGCACGAGGATCATGCATCAAATTGCTGAAAAACCTGTGCAAAGATCTTGATGTAAAGTTTTGTTATGAATTCGCCAATTTTCAATGTTACAAATTTGTTTTACAATACATCAGTTCATGTGTAAACAGTACCTTTAAACAGTATGGAATATTTTGCAAAATTTAGTTTAAAACCGTTGCCTGAAGTATGTGGCTATATTTATACTAGTGAGTCTAAACTTTTGAAAGGAAACAGAATGGCATTCTCCTAAACCCAACAGAGACATATATCCCAAACTGACTCAGGTAGAAATGATACCCAAATCAAAATGTCAGCAATTTTCTAACACTTTGAAAACAAAACTTGTGACAGTAAATAGATGAATGATCTGCACAAGGACATGTTGTTTAAAGAGCACCTTCGAGTACCATGAAGCAGTGACTGAGAACTGCCATTAACCAGATATCCCAGAGTGGAGTTAAGTAACTGCATGCCCTGGAGTTGTGGAGAATGAATCACATGGATAACCAGTTCACAGTCTTTACATTAATTCTGTTTCACACTGCACCAGCTGTCAGATAAACTTTCACAAAAAGGCAATGTTTCTGAAAAACAAACTTTTCTGCAGCAACAAGCACAACCACAATTGTTTTTTCCATCATTTAAGGATTTGGAGTAAACAAGAATTAGAAAAAAGAGGACACTATCCGACAATTAGCTGTGTAAATGTAGAGGCAACAACAAAATAAAGACTGACTAATTATAACAATATCCATATAAAAATTCATCCGTTGTCGCCATGGCAACCACAAAAGATGGTCACCATGGTGCCCAACATGCTGATTGTTATGTACAATATGTACAGAGGTTCAAAACTACTAAACATCATTATGTTCCAACATCATTTGTTTTGTCCCCACCCTTATCATGCTTATCAGCTTTGGCATCGTCGTGGGTTTTATCTGACGACTGATTGACTTCCGCAACGACATCAATGGTGCTGACAGCTGGAGGTTTCTGCGATTTTTCGATATACTCTATGCCGTGTTTCCTCAATATGCCTTGCAGAAGTTCAATCTCACGTTCCTGAGAAGAGCAATATTGGCGATATTTTGCCAGTTCTTGTTCACAGGCAGTACGAAGACGGCGCTCTCTTTCCAGGCGTTTCTCTGATTGCCTCTTTACAGACATTACTATTCCTGGAAAACAAAGAAATACATGTAGCTTAAAACAACCAGTCAAACATAAACCCACAATCTTCCAGTAATCTGATACCGGTACTCTGTAGGATGAAGTCAGGTTGTGTATTTTTCTACATATTATCTGTCAGCCTCCAGCATATTGCATTTGCCATGTTCCAGCCTCTCAATCCCCATTTTGTTTGACTCTTTATCTTGGTACCAAAAAACCCCCGCAAAATCTGGAATATATGCATCACAAACTTCAGGAAACAAAATGTGCAAGAAACTATTTGTGTCAGAGATAGTCAGAAGTCCGCTGGAATCAAACAGATATTAAAGTGCATGAAAATGCAATTTGAAACTACAATCACTCACTCACTCACTGAAAGAGCTTGATTTGGAGACACTACCAAACCCCAAACCCCTAATCATAAGGACATAATATATTCTAATGTTTTCACTTATTCATACATGATGCCAAGGGTTCAAACTAGATACTGACTGGTCACACAATTGTCAGCACTCAATATATTGTAAACAGTGCCAGCTCCAATATCTGGACACAATGTTTTTGAAAGATTAAAATGGGGGTGTCCTTTAAAACCAGCCTTTCATGCAGTCAAGTCGCGCTTCCATACAGTCAAGTCGTGCTTCCATACAGTCAAGTCGTCCCTCCATACAGTCAAGTCGTGCTTCCATACAGTCAAGTCGTCCCTCCATACAGTCAAGTCGTGCTTCCATACAGTCAAGTCGTCCCTCCATACAGTCAAGTCGTCCCTCCATCCATACAGTCAAGTCAAGTCCCTCCCATACAGTCAAGTGCTTCCATACAGTCAAGTACATACAGTCAAGTCGTGTTAGCTTCCATACAGTCAAGTCGTGCTTCCATACAGTCAAGTCATGCTTCCATACAGTCAAGTTGTGCTTCCCATACAGTCAAGTCGTGCTTCCATACAGTCAAGTCGTCCTTCCATACAGTCAAGTTGTAGCTTCCATACAGTCAAGTCAGTCAAGTCATGCCTCCATACAGTCAAGTTAGTCGCTTCCATACAGTCAAGTCGTACGTTTGAGTCAAGTCGTCCTTCCATACAGTCAAGTCGTTTCCATACAGTCATTTGAGTCAAGTCCTTCCATACAGTCAAGTCGTGCTTCCAGTCAAGTCATACAGTCAAGTCGTGCTTCCATACAGTCAAGTCAAGTTCTTCCATACAGTCAAGTCATGCTTCCATACAGTCAAGTCGTCCCTCCAAACAGTCAAGTCGTGCTTCCATACAGTCAAGTCGTGCTTCCATACAGTCAAGTCGTCCCTCCATACAGTCAAGTCGTCCTCCATACAGTCAAGTCGTGCTTCCATACAGTCAAGTCGTGCTTCCATACAGTCAAGTCGTGCTTCCATACAGTCAAGTCGTCCCTCCATACAGTCAAGTCGCCCTCCATACAGTCAAGTCGCGTGCTTCCATTCCGCCCCTCCATACAGTCAAGTCGTCCTCCATACAGTCAAGTCGTCCCTCCATACAGTCAAGTCGTCCTCCATACAGTCAAGTCGTCCCTCCATACAGTCAAGTTATCCAGTCGTCCCCTCCATACAGTCAAGTCGTCCCTCCATACAGTCATAGTCAAGTGTCCCCTCCATACAGTCAAGTCGTCCCTCCATACAGTCAAGTCGTCCCTCCATACAGTCAAGTCGTCCCTCCATACAGTCAAGTCGATCCCTCCATACAGTCCATACAGTCAAGTCCCTCCATACAGTCCCTCCATACAGTCAAGTCATACAGTCAAGTTGTGCTCCATACAGTCAAGTCGTGGGTACAGTCAAGTCAGTCCATAGTCAAGTCGCTTCCATACAGTCAAGTCAAGTCGTGCCTCCATACAGTCAAGTCCATACAGTCCCTCCCATACAGTCAAGTCGTCCTTCCATACAGTCAAGTCGTCCCTCCATACAGTCAAGTCGTCCCTCCATACAGTCAAGTCATGCTTCCATACAGTCAAGTTGTGCTTACAGTCAAGTCGCCCATACAGTCAAGTCCATACAGTCCCTCCATACAGTCAAGTCGTCTTCCATACAGTCAAGTCAGTCCCTCTTCCATACAGTCAAGTTAGTCCTTCCATACAGTCAAGTCGTCCATACAGTCAAGTCCTCCATACAGTCAGTCAAGTCGTCCCTCCATACAGTCAAGTCAAGTCCCATACAGTCAAGTCCATACAGTCAAGTCGTCCCTCCATACAGTCAAGTCGTCCCTCCATACAGTCAGTCAAGTCGCCTCTCCATACAGTCAAGTTTCCATACAGTCAAGTCGTCCCTCCATACAGTCATACCATACAGTCAAGTCGTCCTCCATACAGTCAAGTCGTCCCTCCATACAGTCAAGTCGTCAAGTCCCTCCATACAGTCAAGTCGTCCCTCCATACAGTCAAGTCCCCCTCCATCCATACAGTCAAGTCAAGTCCTCCATACAGTCCAAGTCGTCCCCTCCATACAGTCAAGTCAAGTCCCTCCATACAGTCAAGTCGTCCCTCCATACAGTCAAGTCGTCCCTCCATACAGTCAAGTCGTCCCTCCATACAGTCCCTCCATACAGTCAAGTCGTCCCTCCATACAGTCAAGTCGTCCCTCCATACAGTCTCCATACAGTCCCTCCATAGTCAAGTCGTCCCTCCATACAGTCATCGTCCCTCCACAGTCAAGTCGTCCCTCCATACAGTCCCTCCATACAGTCACAGTCAAGTCGTCCCTCCATACAGTCCCTCCATACCATACAGTCAAGTCGGTTTCCATACAGTCAAGTCGTCCTCCATACAGTCAAGTCATACAGTCAAGTCCCATACATACAGTCAAGTCAAGTCCCTCCATACAGTCAAGTCGTCCCTCCATACAGTCAAGTCGTCCCTCCATACAGTCAAGTCGTGCTTCCATACAGTCAAGTCGTCCCTCCATACAGTCAAGTCGTCCCTCCATACAGTCAAGTCGTCCCTCCATACAGTCAAGTCGTGCTTCCATACAGTCAAGTCGTCCCTCCATACAGTCAAGTCGTCCCTCCATACAGTACCAACCAGAATCTGAACCCATCCTGGCAAGCCCCAGTGATGGATGTCTCAAGGCCAGAATCTAAACCCACCCAAGTTCACTGTATTTTGTCAGTCTTTGGCAATGTAAAGGCTTAACTTCTCTGAATATGGTAGAAACAGGGTTTCTTTGAGTTAACATAAAGCGACAAACAATGAGGCACCACGTTTGTCTACCTGAAACAGACGCATTGGGAAAGATACATCTAAGCATACTGGGAATGTTAGTCACCAGTTTCTATAACAAGACCAATGTTGATGTTGTGAACAAACAGTAGGTCCTTCAAAGTGGACCATGATCTTCAACTTAAGACATAGATTACCTGAGCCTTAACATATTTAATTCATCAATGCTTCATTGTTTTCTTAAACCATTCTTCCTAATTCTGTTCCATTATGTGTATCATTCAATGTTTCATGTATAATTCCCGAAGACATGAAATTCCCAACAAGTTTGGGGAAATATTTTTGAAAAGTTGTGAGCGGCACCTTACCATTCAGCACACGTGTAACCCGCCACAGTCTCAGGACTATGAGAAGTCCAAGGCCATTAGCTGCTCCTTCGGCATTGCGGTAGATGATGTCCAGGATAAACGACACTATGACAACCACAGCATCGAACAACTCCAGCTTGTGTTTGAAGAAATCGAGGCGCATGGCGTATAACCGCACTCCGATTTCCACCAGGAATATACTCAAGATGGACAGACTCATGTAATGCAGGATCTTGGGAGCGATGTGATTTTCATGATCTGGAAGCTCGAAGACTCGGAGGTCCAACAAAAGTTCAATGATTACAAGGAAGCAGTCCAGAATGACGAGACAGATGACTCCGATCTGGAATTTGTTGGTGTGCAGCAGATGGAGGATCTTTTCTCGAGTTGTACGAGGCTCAGACCGAGAAACCTCATCTGAATCGGTGACGGAACTTCCACTGTCGTCCTTCTCGATAACCTTTTCAAGGTCATCCTGTAGTTTATGGAAGCCATCCATCTGCACCTGAAACATCAACCACTGATTAGACTAACATCTAAAATGAACACATTGAACACGAAAAAAAGTTAATAAAAATAATTCATAAAATAAAAGGTGCCGAAAAGACTTCATTCATTTTCCAGAAACTGTGGTATTCTAGACTTGTTACAAATTCTTGACCAGTGTTTGCCCTCAACCCTGAAAAGCTACGGGCCCTAAAGACCCAGAACCATACAAAGTTGTGGGTCCTGATCAGAATGTGTAGGTCCTTTATTTTAACATGGAAATAATACTCTTAGTTATTGGGGATGAAAGGCTGTCAGCCATATGAAAGAAAAACAAAAGCTGTCTGTCCGAGTGGTTTTCAGTTGGCTTCGGGCCTAAGGACCGATGTTAATTTTGAACACTGTTCTTGACCCACATGAGCTGCTTTGGGTAACTTGCGTCAGGGTGTGTATGACAGACTCATCACTTATTTACCCCCTGACATCGGAATCTGAGAAAACATGAAATGAACCTTTGATTTACAGTACCAGTAGTTTGTGTTTAATTCAGAAAGAATCACACGTGCCGACACATAAATATATTATGGTCTAATTACAAAGCTTTTAATTTGATAAAAAATTATGACATTTGACAGACTGGCAACATCAAATATTTGTTAAAAAAAAATTGTAATATTTAATTATTGGTTGTTTCAAAAATAAAGATCAGAGGACATCCCATTACAAGTCACATAGCTACCTCTCACCTGTCCATCAGAATGTGTTCTCATCATACAAACTAGAAATGGTAAACGCAAAGCATTGAAAACGTCCTGAGAAACAAAAATGAAGCATACAACTTTATGGATAACAACTTCTTGTTTATAGCATAGAGCGATGATTCGATGTAGCTTTGTACACCGTTACCAAGCTAAAAGTGATAAACAACATTACATTTTAACTGGCCCTAATCCCACTTTAAGCAGTAGAATTACTGGTTTGCATAATTCATTCTCACAAGATAAACTTGAATGACTTGATAAATTTACAATGTTTCTTAATGAATTATTTTATCACTAGAGATAGAATATATGTGTTTGATATGACAATCTAGAAATTATCAAGTCTCCAATAGACAAATCAATTGTTGATAGTCAATTCAAAAGCCATTGCTGCTGGTTACGATGACACACAATCATATGTGTTAGGGAGTGACCATCAGATCCCCATTTTGGTCCAGTCTTACAAGTATGAGGTACTGAGGGTAGGCGATGACCAAGATTCACTGTTCACAGAGAACGCAAACATATCAAACATGTTTTATCTTATCTGTATGTAAATGGTTACCACGAAAATTCTTCAAGAATTATACTAGTTGTTTTTTTTAAACTCATCCTGCAGACCCACACATAAGGGTCATGTCTTTCAATAGACAGTAACCAAGTTTTGAAACACAAAATTCAGCAAAAAGTATTTTCTTAAAGCCTACATAACAAAAACATGCATTTGTCAGGTTTAAGGAACGATTGATCACTAAGCTGATTTTAACAAATATATTTTTTCTAAAACACTGGAGATATTTCTCTAGCTGTAGGGTTTCTATAGGATTCATCATCAAAGAAATATTAAATACACTGTTTGACATTTCAATTTTCATCTGTACTATATATATAGAAAGCAATACACTGTTTATCAATCAGCAATATATACTAGTGACATCAAGACAACTTTAAACTGTATAAACATCTCATTTTGAAATATCTAAGTATATCAGTGACTTTTGGGGACATATTAATTTGTCTGATAACTTGAGTACAACACTCGAAACTGTCAAAACTTACTTGTATCACAAGTAAAATATCTTTTAAGAGGCTCTACTTAATTATCAGATTAAAGAGGCCACAAAGGTTTGTTACGAGAAACCCATTCAAGTGTTCACGCATGAGTGATTAAGACAATGATATCCGACCCACGCGTTACAATCACAAATTTCATTCTTTGTTTGCAAATTTCGTCCACCGACAACCAGTCGAAATCATAAAAACGTGTCAAATACCTTGCCACCTTGTTCTTTTTCATCCATCGCAAAATTTTAAACCACAAGCTGGTCGAGTAACACAACCATCAGTAGCAAATAGGCCATGACGGAGACACCCACTTTCACTCAGTACGCATGGCAAAGATTGACAGCGAACTTGAGACAGCATGGCGTTTTGAGAAGGGCTGTGTTGATTGATTAGGGTATAAAGAGTCACAAGAAAACAACTGCGTACCTTCATGTCGTTTGTTGGGACAGTAGGGTGTCAGTTGACCACAGCGCGTGCTCAGCACGCGGGGAAACCTCGCTGTGTGGGAACTAAAGATGCGTTTTTGTGCTCGGAGCGTGCAGCACATGCGACAGTCAGTGTTATTGTTTACCTTTTTTGTGTGGTTGACCTCGCATATTTTTGTGAGATTTTGCAAATATTTGCTATTTTTGTAAATAGAACTCTTGCACGTTGTTGCCAAGCAATTTTACACGTTTTCACCCAGCTATTGATGAAATATTTAATTGTTTGTGTTTCCTGTTTTGCCAAGGGAGATAAGTTTAATATGGTATGGCGCGAAATATGAATAGTTCGGTCCAATTTATCATCCAAAACTAGCTTCCACTGGATTATCGATCACCGAGATTATGTAATATCGCGTTCGAGTTATATAGAGGATACTAAACGACCTTCCGTGTAATACCGTTTTAAAAACACCAGTTAATGATTTGGTATCAAACGAGCAAAAATGAGTTTAATTTGATAGAATCTACTAAATCTTTCATGAGTTAATCAAAATGATATTTCACGGAAGCGAGTTTAGTATTCTGTTTAGTACTCTTCAACATAAACTGATAGAAACTGCCTATCAGTGCCTAGTGTGATGACTCTCAGCTTTCCGCGAGTCGAGCAAGGTCTAATACCATTGTGACAGAGGTATTAGCATTGTGACGTCATAACTGTACACCATTATGACGTCATACGTCTAGCGGTATTACACTAGCAGTAATATTATAAGGGTAATGCTATTTGTGAGGGCATTATCATTTGCAGAAGCCCGAGGTCTTCCATTAACTGCCCGACGAAGGAGGGCAGTTGAAAAAGACCGAGGGCTTCTGCAAATGATAATGCCCACAAAAATAGCATTACCGTTATTATTGCTAAAATACATGGAATTTGTGTTGAAAAGAAAAAGGAACAATGAAGGAATTTGACTGTAAGTTTACCCAAATCAACTTCTGACGGGGTTGACTGCCCGAATGCAATTACGTCATCGAACAATTCAAGTGACGTCACAACAGAAAGTGACGACATTCGACCTTGGCCTTTGACAAGACCGTAGCCTGCATCATGTCAAACTATGTCAGTGTTCGGTTTTGGTCCATCAACAGTCTTAATGGTGCAATTGTTAAGGTTAGTACCAACAAGAAAGCCAATATTACCGCTATTTAAAGCGGGAATTCGGGTTGCTTTGACTTGTTTGACCCAGAATATCTGCCAGTCGAAAGCCAATTAATGTCGAACTATGACGTCACTTGACAACAGAACTGATAGTGGCCCGTCGTTAAGGTTGAGCGGTCCAATATCATTTGCAGCGGACCGCAAATTTCTGATAATGGGAGGGCCGTTTCATGATAATTCCATGTATTTTAGCTATAATATAAGGGTAATGCTATTTTTGAGGGCATTATCATTTGCAGAAGCCCGAGGTCTTCGAATAACTGCCCGACGAAGGAGGGCAGTTGAAAAAGACCGAGGGCTTCTGCAAATGATAATGCCCTCAAAAATAGCATTACCGTTATTATTGCTAAAATACATGGAATTTGTGTTGAAAAGAAAAAGGAAACAATGAAGGAATTTGACTGTAAGTTTACTCAAAACCAACTTCTGACGGGGTTGACTGCCCGAATGCAATTACGTCATCGAACAATTTAAGTGACGTCACAACAGAAAGTGACCATATTCCACCTTGACGTTTGACAAGACCATAGCCTGCAACATGCCAAACCATGTCAGTGTTCAATTTGGGTCCAACAACAACGTTAATAGTGCAATTGTTAGGGTTAGCACCAGAAAGAAAGCCAATATTACCGCTATTTAAAGCGGGAATTCGGGTTGCTTTGACTTGTTTGACCCAGAATATGTGCCAGTCCAAAGCCAATGTCGAATGAACCGACGCACCCAATATGACGTCACTTGACAACAGAACTGATAGTAGCCCGTCGTTAAGGTTGAGCGGTCCAATATCATTTGCAGCGGCCGCAAATTTCTGATATGAGGAGGGCCGTTTCATGATAATTCCATGTATTTTAGCAATAATTTAAGGGTAATGCTATTTTTGAGGGCATTATCATTTGCAGAAGCCCGAGGTCTTCCATTAACTGCCCGACGAAGTTGAAAAGACCGAGGGCTTCTGCAAATGATAATGCCCTCAAAAATAGCATTACCGTTATTATTGCTAAAATACATGGAATTTGTGTTGAAAAGAAAAAGGAAACAATGAAGGAATTTGACTGTAAGTTTACTCAAAACCAACTTCTGACGGGGCAATCTCCTACCCAGAGTTCCATGCGGCCAGCCAGCATAGTACCTCTGCCACAGGCCAGAAAAATGTGACGATTCGTCACATCTTGCACCGTCCATTCAATATAATGTACATATTTCTTAACTCTTTTATTTTTGACGAGCCTAAACATCTAATTAAACATCTTTGTTAGAGGGGAGGTGGGGTAGCCTAGTGGTTAAAGCGTTGGTTCGTCACGCCGAAGACCCGGGTTCGAATCCCCACGTGGGTACATTGTGTGAAGCCCATTTCTGGTGTCCCCCTCCTTGAGGTTGCTGGAATATTGCTAAAAGCGGCGTTAAACCAAACTCAGTCAGTCAGTCTTTGATAGAATGGCTTAGTTTCACTGAGAAAATATCCTAAAACATGTAACTCTATGTCGATTTGCGTAGCGATCCTATGTTTACGTAGGTTGTACGGCTCCACGGATGTCATCGAAGCCGACAGGGATTAAACGATGCAACCAGTTTGATATCTAAATATGTACTGTCATAAATGTTACTGTCGCAGTTGTGGAAGAATATATATGTGACAATGTAAAACATTGTAAAGTGCGCACCTAAAAACTTCCGTAAGGCCAGTCTCTTCTTATTATGAATATGCGCGTTTGTTTACAAACAAGAGAAAAGTCAGGTCACGTGATATGCAAATTAGCCTGTGGCAGTGATGTTATGTTAAGTCATCACTGCGCCGGATAGACTAGGAGTATGCTGACGGGGTTGACTGCCCGAATGCAATTACGTCATCGAACAATTTAAGTGACGTCACAACAGAAAGTGACCATATTCCACCTTGGCCTTTGACAAGACCATAGCCTGCAACATGCCAAACCATGTCAGTGTTCGGTTTTGGTCCAACCACAACGTTAATAGTGCAATTGTTAGGTTAGCACCAGAAAGAAAGCCAATATTACCGCTATTAAAGCGGGAATTCGGGTTGCTTTGACTTGTTTGACCCAGAATATGTGCCAGTCCAAAGCCAATGTCGAATGAACCGACGCACCCACTATGACGTCACTTGACAACAGAACTGATAGTGGCCCGTCGTTGAGGTTGAGCGGTCCAATATCATTTGCAGCGGCCCGCAAATTTCAGAAATGGGCTTCACACTTTGTACCCATGTGGGGAATCAAACCCGGGTTTTCGGCGTGACGAGCGAACTCTTTAACCACTAGGCTACCCCACCGCCCGATTTCCGATGAGAATTAAAGTGATGGTAATATATAAGTTCAAGGAAATTCGATCAAACTTCAGAGTATTAGATATTTCTGTTGTATACTGTGTAATAAAGATTAGTATCATAGTGCTGTTTTATGTCCAGAAATAGTTCTCGTAAAAAAATTCTACGAAATAAGGAGGCGATGGGGTAGCCCAGTGGTTAAAGCGTCCGCTCGCCACAGCAAAGACCCGGGTTCGACTCCCCACATGTACAATGTCTGAAGCCCATTTTTTGGCGTCCTCCGCTGGGATATTGCTGGAATATTGCTGAAAGCGGCGTCAAACCATATTCACTCACCTACTAAATAAGATTGGCACATGCATACACACACAACTTTTTAAGCACATCGCTTGTGTAATGAGCTGACTTGGTTGATGAACGTTCCCCAATTTCGTAAATAAGTGCACTTGATGTCCGTCACTGGATTGTCTGATCAATGATAAGCCGTGATATAGTTGGCATATTTCTCAGTACAACATTCAACCACCAAATAAATGAAATACTTTGTGATATGTTATCAAGAAAAAAACTAATTGATTGAAAAAATATCAACAAATTGTTTACCGGATTAATGTTCTAGTACTTTTTGTATTCTGAATGCATCCTCAAAACGTTGAGCATGCCCCATTTGTTCAATACTGTATGGTCGTTTCACCAGCAGCAGATGATTACTGTAATGTCTAAACTGACACACAAAGCTGGAAGAAAGTATCCACTTGAACATAAACTTTGGCCCCATGTGTGCTCACGTAGATGTGTGCATGATCCCCTTCAGTGTATTTTCTGAGAAATAGTACAAAACGACTGAGTAACGAGTCGAGATGCACATACTGTGAAGTATAATCGATCGCAGTCAAATGCATCATCGGGTCATCAAAACCCGCCTTTGCAGTCCGCTTTCGATATACATAGATACACACTGCAGACACATTGCATTTTCCAGTCATATCAACTTGCCAGATATAGACCGCTCAAAGATCGGGGCCACTTGTTTTATTGGCCGAGCACCCGTGAATATCCGGGTTAGAATTGGTCTTCAGTAACACATGCTTGTCTCCCGTGAAGATCCGGGTTAAAATTGGTCTTCAGTAACACATGCTTGTCTCCCGTGAAGATCCGGGTTAAAATTGGTCTTCAGTAGCACATGCTTGTCTTAAGAGGCGACTAACGGAGTGGTCAGGCTCGCTGACTTGCTTGAGACATCTCATCGTATCCCAACTGCGTAGATCGATGCTCATGCTGTTGATCACTGGATGATCTGTTCCATACTCGATGGTTTAAAGACCGTCGCCATTGGGCTGGAATATTAATGGCTGAGTACGGCGTTAACACAAACCATCCAACCTAACCATGAGGCGAGCAACAACAAGTAACATCTTTTAACCTATTTCAAGATGGCACGACCATATCCAATTAGGACTTGAGGGTTTGTTTTTACTGATGTTCTCCTTTCAGTGTCTCTGACAACTTAGTACTGTCTATTGGGGGATCTGGATAATTGAAGGCATACACAGCAGCTATATGTCACGACAGCCAGACAGAACTGGGTGAGACAAACAGTGGTTAATACGATGAGCAAGGATCCACGCATGACACACAATCAACAAGGTCAGCACCCCGCATCCACTTTTCTCCCCACTATTACGCGCTATTTAAAGACTGTGGAATCTGGACTGAAGCAATGAACGCTCATTTCGTATTACCGCAATGTTTCCGCATTTTACAATTAAAGAATTAAAAAAATACTTTTCCCATATTTCTATCGCAGGGAAAGGGTGCGAAGTTAAGCGAAAATCAAGAACAAACCAGGTAACTGTACCGCTTTTTGTTGCAGGTACCTTCACAGCAAATCTAGACGTAGTACCGTGTGTGAATCAGAATAATCATTTGATTAAAGACTTTCATGAAATGAATGTTTCTTATTTGTGTAAAGTGGAATTAACAAAACGTAAAAGATTGCATGGAACAAATGCTAAATCCAATCTGCACTGCAAACAACAATGTAAATTTGTATGCTTGTCTGTTCTCTATTCAGTGGTCTCCATTATGGAAGAATTGTCTCCCCCTTACCGTTAGGGGTTTCGTTGCAAGATGGAGTCTAAGAATGAGGATAAGGCTATTGTCATCGCTAAGACGCCGTCAGAACTTCAAAGAATGAGACTAGATAAACTCATGAAAAATCCAGTGGGTAGACAATGATTATGTCTAGACGAAGTATCTCCATTGAAAACACGTGTAGAGTCAAGCATTATCCAACTCCACGGCCTTACTCTTACGATTCGGATTTCGCGCACAAACTGTGCTGTTTTGTAAACCTTTTTATAAAGCAAAACAAGAATTACTCAACGAATACAGAGGAAAACAAATAATTCATTGCTTATCAGAGTTAAAGTATGCTTATTAAAGTATGAAAAACTCATAAGACGTGAAAACAAGCAAGTACAAGTTCACCAGCAACTGAACAAGCAGTTCATTAGTCGTGAGATTTTGGAATATTTCTTGACACTGACAATAGCTTAGCATGTTAAACGAGCAATAAACATGATAAAGCTTGTGCTAAACTGTCAGTCCTTGAAAATTGGTTTCAACTATCAAGTACTTTATATTGGGATAAGTGTGTCTCAGTTAAATATTGTTAGTAACTGAGAACCTATTTTGTTCATCTAAAATGTTATTGTTATGTACAGAGACATTATCCCAGTTCCCTCTGACGATTAGTCAAATAAATGTTCTCCATACAACAGAACATAGTCACTCGTTCAGTCTGTTCATTTTAGGCAAAAGAGGTCATGATCCCTGATAAATCAAAAGACTGGAATCCTCGAGGGCCACAAGAATTCATCAGAAATGTTTGGGGTAAGAATGCAAGGAACACTAAGATCAAGAAGATTCCCCTAGGGGATTAGTGTGTACACAGAGCATGTAACAAATGCAGAGTTCTACATCGTATGAGAACATTTTTCAGACATGAACATGGCACATGTTAAGCATTGATAGTGAAGGAATGTTTCAATGTACCTGTTACTGGTAAAAATTTTACTGGGGAAAACTTATCTCCATTGGAGTTTGTTTTAGCTTGTTATTGTAGCCAAGCACATGGCGTTGTGGTGCATGTCTGGTTAGACGTTCATGTCTAGGGCTGTTGTGTTGGTTCATGGTGCGAAGTCTGTGACAGTGGTTCAAAGAGCTTTATTATGGCCACTACTTATACTACTACCATCATGGTACTACTACTGTGACAGTGGTTCACAGAGCTTTAGTATGGCCACTACTTATACTACTACCATCATCGTACTACTACTGTGACAGTGGTTCACAGAGCTTTAGTATGGCCACTACTTATACTACTACCATCATCGTACTACCACTCTGTTAGTGTTATTGTTATCTTGGGTGAAAATGGCTGACAATAACTGACTGTGACTGTCATTATTGTTCCACCACAACATGATCATCTTGTCAGCCACTGTTTCTTGTCTGTAGATTCCAGGATAGGATGGGTCAACATCCACCTATTCCTTTGTGTGGTAACCAAATGGATATGGTGGTCAGGCTTAGTGATTTAGTTGTTTGCATATCCTTAGCCCCAGCCAGCATAAACCATTGCTCGTAATATCAGTGTGGCCCAGGCTCTATGATGTAAAGGCTACCATCATGTAGGTGGAGTATTACTGAGTGTGGCTTTATACAACTAAATAAACAAGCCTGAATGTTGTTGGTTTGGTACATATTGTTTAGGATTGTACAGTAATATTTTTTATAACAGTATGTACAGTATTATTGGTATACTGCAATACACATTTCAGATGATTGCAATATTTTTCCTGTGTACTGGAATACTGGGTAAAATATATATGAACAAATTCTTATTTGTATAGCTACCAAAAATCTAAACCCAAGCTAAATCATAAATGATGTTTTCCCTCGAACATGTTGAAAGTGATTCATATAAAATTATAATAATGGAAACATGAAAATGTCTGACCACCTATCACATTAGTGACCCATTGAACCCATGTGGGTAATCGAACCTGGGTCTTCAGCATGATAAGCAAACCACTAGACTACCCCACCGGCTCCACACTTATACAGTAAATGTGTGACTCCCCTTATATTGCAGTACTAATTGTATTGATAACTGTGTCCAAGTATTTCGTAGTACAATGTTTTCGCCAGTCCTCAGGTCTAACATTTGTTGTATGTAGGGTCTAGCGCTGGAGCTGGCAGTGGTGACTTCCATGTGTACCGTGGTGTGAGGAGAAGGGAGTACGCCAGACAGAAGTTCATCACAGAGAAGGCGAAGAAGGTAGGTAACTCTTGTATCCCATTGTCTACAGTGCAGGTCAGAGGTCCCATTTGCATAGAGAAATTGAAAGAAAGACATTCCACCTGGAAACACAAGTCCATTAATATAATCTTTTAACATTTTGTAAGAATGCAGTCTTGCTAAACCAATCCTTTCTAATAAATATTTAATAGGCAATATCAATATGAATAACATGGTACTCATCCGTGAACGGACAGTATGTGTTTTTTGGTCATTTTTTAAAATTCATTTCGTTAGGATACAAGAGTTCTTTATATACTAAACAGATTGTTTCTTGTCAGTGTACTAGTGAATAAGATAGATTATTATCAACAGAATATAAGTATTACGTTTATATGTATGGATTATAAGTTTTGGGAATATTCGGTCCAGTTCTTTTATAGTCAGTTATCTCCCTTGTCCCAAGAAGATGTCTTACCCAACAGGAAGTATGGTTTCTATTCCATTGTGTGTTCAGGACAAGGAGGACGTGGATTATCAGAAGAGGGTGGAGGAGAACAAGAGGGTTGCTGATGACAGGACGGCCAAGAAGAGAGCAAAGAGGTACACCTGGATAGATATGTGCAGACTGTTAATGAGCGAGTAGGTAACGAGGTTAATGTGGGACCAGCAGGTTATACAGTGTAAAACTCTCTAACATGGGATCCGTGAAGATCCGGGGTAGAATAGGTCTTCAGCAACCCATGTGCTTGCCATAAAAAGGCGACTATCTTGTCGTAAGAGGCGACTAACGGGATCGGGTGGTCAGTTTCGCTGACTTGGTTGACACATGTCATCGGTTCCCAATTGTGCAGATCGATGCTCATGCTGTTGCTCACTGGATTGTCTGGTCCAGACTCGATTATTTACAGACCGCCGCCATATAGCTGGAATATTGCTGAGTGCGGCGTAAAACTCAACTCACTCACTCACTCACTCTAACATGGCTGCAACATGCCTTTTTTTTATGTTGTCATACTAGTGCCAGTTTTCAGATTGGAGGGAAATTCTGGTCCAGTTGAGGTGAAATGGTAGTGTCCAAGATTTGTTACACCCATGTTTATATACTACTCACACTTTACTAAGGATCACAAAAAATTGCAACTTTACTTAAACATAGATTTATAATTTGAAATTGTATCCATTTAAAACTGGATAAATAATAATATGGTAACACATCTTTAGGAAAACAGCCACTTTAAGCTAACCTTATGCACTTGATACATGAGTAAACATCAAAATGGTGTTCATGGCACCAACCAACCATTTTGCAAATCATGGCAAGGGTCATTGACAAGTACATAACACATGTCAATAGCAGGCAGGGGATCCACAAGATGCAGTGACATACTGTAAACTTGGATCCATGCTGACAATAAGCTTAGATATTTAAACCAAATTTGACCCCACATCATAGTTTTCTGTTGAATCAATGATTTGATCCTTAGCAAAGTGTGAGTAGTATATATCAGTATACATGCACGTGTGCGTGTGTGTCTGTTACAGGTCATTGGCTCCCTCCCTCTGCAAGCAGTCTGTGTTCTGCTGTTTCTTTTGTTGACAGTTACATAGACAGATTCTTTAATACAAATGCATAAAATCGGTGATTTACAATGTGATTAGGTTGTCTGACAAAACATCCACTTGCACAGTTTGAGATCGATTGGATTATTGGATGAAGAGATATTTTACAAAAAAAACGGGTCCACATGCATTTCATGCCAAACTATAGTATAACTTGTATATCCCACCCAGACATATTATACTTGTTCTGATCTGACCATTAATTGTCTGTAGTGCAAGCTCACTGATATACTGTGCTGTAGTATAACTTGTATATCCCACCCAGACACATTATACCGTATATGACCGTCTATAAGCCGAATTTTGAGGACCAAAAAAAGCAGTCTGTAGAAGGGGGTCGTCTTATCCATGAGTTACACTTTCGTCAAACTTTTTTCCAGGGGTAAGAAAACAACATCGTATCACTTCGCGTGAACAAACAACAGAAGACGACTTTGTCAGTAGAGACATCAAATTTGCAATTAAACACCACTAGACAAGATTAATTACCATTTAAGTTGTAAGTTGTTTTTGCTGGGCATTGTTTTATTTGCAGGGATTAAGATTACCGTATGTATTTGTCTCGCATTACACAAAGCCGGAAATAGCAATCAGCTGTGCACATCGTTTCCGGCTTAACAAGTTCAAACATGCACAATAATTTAACGGACCGAATTCTGACGCAGTCATCAGTAAAATATAATACAGAATACCGTTATTTAACCCAAAGAAATATATCCTAGCATTGTGTAATTTTAGTTACAGTTTTTGCTCTATAAATTAATTAAGATTACCGTATGTGATTTGTCTCGCATTACACAAAGCCGGAAATAGCAATCAGCTGTGCACACGTTTCCCCTTGAACAAGTTCAAACATGCACAATAATATAACGGGATGAATTCTATTGATTGAATACTATTATTTAACCCAAAGAAATATATCCTAGCATTGTGTAATAGTTTTTATGTAAAAAATATATAATCAACACTAAGGTTATACGGACCATCATGAACGTGGTAAGCACGTGACATGGAACGAGGCGGTAATCAGTTTGTGATTGTTGAGTGGGGTAAAATAAGCAAGCCAGTTTGTTGCTACAATAAATATGATATTTAGAGAAGCAAAATATATTATGCATTTTCTGTCAACTACACTTCGTTTCGATCCGTGAGTAGACACAATATATATGACAGTGAATTCTTTGAATAATGTGGATCGACTTACAGTATGAGGAGGACAGTGACACGGAATTTGATGGGTTTACGGCCGATGACTTGTGTTTATTGTTAGTGGACTATTTTTCTTATTGTCATATATATATAGATGAAATATGGACACTTAAATAATATATTTTGAAACAAAAGTTGACTTCAGTTTTTATTTACCGATGGTACTTTTTCTCTTCATACTCACCGATTTCACAAAATGGCGTCTCGTTGTTGATGCAAGCAGTGATCGTCGGGATATAAAAAGGAACACAAACACATGTTGCCACAATACACCGGTAATCTTTATTATGTAATATTCTCACCAACACTTACGCTGTATATCCACTTTCCAAATGGCGTCTCGTTGTTGATGCAAGCAGTGATCGTTAAAAAAAGGTAAACAAACACCGGGAATCTTTATTATGTAATATTCTGGTAATGGTGTCTCGTCGTTGATGGAACATACTTACCGGGTACTCTGGTCTCTGTTGGCCGCGACCCATCGTGGGGGTTCGGCCTATCCATGAGAGATATGATTTTGACACTGATTTTGAGGGTCAAGTTTGGGGGTCGGCTTATCCATGGGGTCGGCTTATAGACGGTCATATACGGTACTAGCTCAGATCTGACCATAAATTCTTTTATCCCCTAAATGTTTCAATAAGAGCTCAATTTTTGTAAGTTAAAGTGAATATGGTATCCTATATGTCTTTACTCTAACTGAGATATATTTGTTGTCTGTTGCAGGCTAAAAAAGAAGACAAAACATAAGACCAAGAAAGCAAAACAGGAAGAGAAGAAAGGTAATGTTCTCAAATTATATGTTAATATGATTAGTTTCCTCAATCATGCCTTTTATTTGTGAACTTGTCATCTGCATGTTCAAATGTAAAATCAAGTGAAATTAATCTCATTGAGCTATATTTGAAGCATGTCATTGACCTCTGTTTGAATTCAGAGCTCTCCTCTAGATGTTGGGCTGTTTTAACCCCACCCCCCCCAACACACACAACTCCCCCCCAAAAAACAACAAACAACAAACACACACACACACACACACACACACACACACACACACGGACAAAGACTCACTCACCGACCGTTCTGTTTCAGCTGAGTCTGATGAATCAGAGGAGGAGAGTGACGAAGAGAAGGGTGGAGTTGAGAATGGACAACCCGAGGTTGGGGTGGGAAAAGAAGACAGTGATGAAGATGTGAAGAGGTGACGGGTTAGAATGTGGCCTGAAGAGCAGCAGAGGACTTAAAGATGCAATAAAGATGCAGAAGATTCCCTTCATTACGGGGCATTTTCACCCAGGAGGAAATATGTATATATCTCCTGTCAAATACACGATTAAGTTAGGGTGATGTTGATCCAGTCTTTAGACGGAAGATGAAATGATGGAAACAAACATATCCCTGAATATCTGTAAGACTGAGAAGGAAGACAGTCTACAAAGGCCCCCCCAAAACATGACCTAGGATATCTGGCAACTCTCTTAGGAAACAATTTTATTCACTTGAACTGAGTAACTATTTTGCATATGTTGGTGTTATTACTTGAACTCTGAGCTTGGGACAAGAATTGTTCAGTCTCATAAGGATTCATTTCTCACTGCAAGAGTTGTGTCCCCTTGTTGTGCATGATCTCATGAGATTTGAATCTTGAATTCAGCTCGAGGGGGGGTGCAGGGGTGTGCACCCCCCACCCCCCTTTTGTTCTGAAATTTTATTAAATGACCATTGAAACTCAGGTGAAAATGAAATGTGCACCCTGCCTTTTCTCAATAGTAAGCACCCCCCCTTTCTGAAAATGCTGTATCCGCCCCTGCAGCTTCATAATGATCGTTAACTGTGCAGACTTAGATCACCAAAGTGGTAATCCTCAAGATCCAGCATCACTTCAGGAGTTGCTCATGTGTCAGTGTGTAGCAGGATAATGAAGTTTAGCCTGCAGTTAAAGTTTTTGCAGCCAAGGCAAGTTTTCAGAACTCATTGCACTCATAATTTGTGTTGTTGTGGAGATTTACATTCACTTGTTGCCAGTATTTGTAACCTTGCTATGGACATCAGTGTGTTCACTTATTCATTATAAATACCATAACTTATTCCATAAACTGCCAACAACACCTCACATAATTTGTTTGTTTTTCTTTGTTTTATTACAATAGGGATAGGAATTGTGCCTGGTATGTAAGTATCTGTGTTCTTTGGTAAAAACTGCTCAATACAGTGAAGGCAGGCATAGTGATCATTTCAAGTACAGTCAAATCCCGATGAGTCGAATGCTGGTGTCTCGAATATTATGCATAACTCGAAGTACCTGTCGGTCCCGACCATTCCCTGTTATAGTTGTCATTTGAATACCGGTTACACGAATTCGACTCATAAATACACACAATGACTCGAGAAGAAAAGTTGGTCCCATGAGATTCAAACAACAGCAATCTTGTATACATAAGCCGAAGTCAGTCAATGAGAAGTTGATTGGTGTAGCAAACTGATCCAATTAACAAACCAGCGTGGCTCACACCTTTCCGCCTTTGACGGGTGAGTTCAAAAGGGAGATTAGTGATCTTACGAAAATCACTGTCTGTGCTAATCAGACTGGAACTGATATGGTGCCCCTATTAGTGATAGGGAAATAATTAGATAAACAAATGCTTAGGCGGAGGAATTGGAACTGGATCATCTTTTTTTTCTACCCTCATAGACATACCTATGTCTCGAATACATCGATAAGTCGAATTTATTACTTGGTCCCCAGAGATTCGACTCATCGGGATTTGACTGTATTTGGCATGATGGTGATGGAATATTACTAAAATCGATGGAATCCTCACTCGTTGCTTCTAACAGCTGAATCAATGGTTCCCTACTTACATCCTGCTGACAGACAGTGGTTCCGTACTTACATCCTGCCGACAGACAGTGGTTCCCTACCTACATCCTGCCGACAGGCAGTGGTTCCTTCTTACATCCTGCTGACAGGCAATGGTTCCTTCTTACATCCTGCTGACAGGCAATGGTTCCTTCTTACATCCTGCTGACAGGCAGTGGTTCCTCCTTACATCCTACTGACAGGCAGTGGTCCCTTCTTACATCCTGCTGACAGGCAATGGTTCCTTCTTACATCCTGCTGACAGGCAGTGGTTCCTTCTTACATCCTGCTGACAGGCAGTGGTTCCTTCTTACATCCTGCTGACAGACAGTGGTTCCTTCTTACATCCTGCTGACAGGCAATGGTTCCTTCTTACATCCTGCTGACAGGCAGTGGTTCCTTCTTACATCCTGCTGACAGGCAGTGGTTCCTTCTTACATCCTGCTGACAGACAGTGGTTCCTTCTTACATCCTGCTGACAGGCAATGGTTCCTTCTTACATCCTGCTGACCGGCAATGGTTCCTTCCTAGATCCTGCTGACAGGCAGTGGTTCCTTCCTACATCCTGCTGACAGGCAGTGGTTCCTTCCTATATCCTGATGACAAGCAGTGGTTCCTTCCTAGATCCTGATGACAGACAGTGGTTCCTTCCTTCATCCTGATGACAGGCAGTGGTTCCTTCCTACATCCTGTTGACAGGCAGTGGTTCCTTCCTACATCCTGCTGACAGGCAGTGGTTCCTTCCTTCATCCTGCTGACAGGCAGTGGTTCCTTCCTACATCCTGCTGACAGGCAGTGGTTCCTTCTTTCATTCTGCTGACAGGCAGTGGTTCCTTCCTACATCCTGCTGACAGGCAGTGGTTCCTTCCTACATCCTGCTGGTAGGCAGTGGTTCCTTCCTACATCCTGATGACTGGCAGTGGTTCCTTCCTACATCCTGATGACAGGCAGTGGTTCCTTCCTTCATTCTGATGACAGGCAGTGGTTCCTTCCTACATCCTGCTGACAGGCAGTGGTTCCTTCCTTCATCCTGCCGACAGGCAGTGGTTCCTTCCTACATCCTGATGACAGGCAATGGTTCCTTCCTACATCCTGCTGACTGGCAGTGGTTCCTTCCTTCATCCTGCTGACAGGCAGTGGTTCCTTCCTACATCCTGCTGACAGGCAGTGGTTCCTTCCTACATCCTGCTGACAGGCAGTGGTTCCTTCCTACATTCCTTCCTACATCCTGCTGACAGGCAGTGGTTCCTTCCTACATCCTGCTGACAGGCAGTGGTTCTTCCTACATCCTGGACAGGCAGTGGTTCCTTCCTACATCCTGCTGACAGGCAGTGGTTCCTTCCCTTCATTCTTCCTATGACAGGCAGTGGTTCCTTCCTACATCCTGATTGGTTCCTTCCAGTGGTTCCTTCCTTCATCCTGCTGACAGGCAGTGGTTCCTTTCCTTCATCCTGTTGACAGGCAGTGGTTCCTTCCTACATCCTGCTTCCTTCATCCTGACTGGCAGTGGTTCCTTCCTTCATTCTGATGACAGGCAGTGGTTCCTTCCTAGATCCTGCTGACAGGCAGTGGTTCCTTCCTTCATTCTGATGACAGGCAGTGGTTCCTTCCTACATCCTGATGACAGGCAGTGGTTCCTTCTTACATCCTGCTGACAGGCAGTGGTTCCTTCTTACATCCTGCTGACAGGCAGTGGTTCCTTCTTACATCCTGCTGACAGACAGTGGTTCCTTCTTACATCCTGCTGACAGGCAATGGTTCCTTCTTACATCCTGCTGACCGGCAATGGTTCCTTCCTAGATCCTGCTGACAGGCAGTGGTTCCTTCCTACATCCTGCTGACAGGCAGTGGTTCCTTCCTATATCCTGATGACAAGCAGTGGTTCCTTCCTAGATCCTGATGACAGACAGTGGTTCCTTCCTTCATCCTGATGACAGGCAGTGGTTCCTTCCTACATCCTGTTGACAGGCAGTGGTTCCTTCCTACATCCTGCTGACAGGCAGTGGTTCCTTCCTTCATCCTGCTGACAGGCAGTGGTTCCTTCCTACATCCTGCTGACAGGCAGTGGTTCCTTCCTTCATTCTGCTGACAGGCAGTGGTTCCTTCCTACATCCTGCTGACAGGCAGTGGTTCCTTCCTACATCCTGCTGGTAGGCAGTGGTTCCTTCCTACATCCTGATGACAGGCAGTGGTTCCTTCCTATATCCTGCTGACTGGCAGTGGTTCCTTCCTACATCCTGATGACAGGCAGTGGTTCCTTCCTTCATTCTGATGACAGGCAGTGGTTCCTTCCTACATCCTGCTGACAGGCAGTGGTTCCTTCCTTCATCCTGCCGACAGGCAGTGGTTCCTTCCTACATCCTGATGACAGGCAATGGTTCCTTCCTACATCCTGCTGACAGGCAGTGGTTCCTTCCTTCATCCTGCTGACAGGCAGTGGTTCCTTCCTACATCCTGCTGACAGGCAGTGGTTCCTTCCTACATCCTGCTGGTAGGCAGTGGTTCCTTCCTACATCCTGCTGACAGGCAGTGGTTCCTTCCTACATCCTGCTGACAGGCAGTGGTTCCTTCCTACATCCTGCTGACAGGCAGTGGTTCCTTCCTTCATTCTGATGACAGGCAGTGGTTCCTTCCTACATCCTGCTGACAGGCAGTGGTTCCTTCCTACATCCTGCTGACTGGCAGTGGTTCCTTCCTTCATTCTGATGACAGGCAGTGGTTCCTTCCTAGATCCTGCTGACAGGCAGTGGTTCCTTCCTTCATTCTGATGACAGGCAGTGGTTCCTTCCTACATCCTGATGACAGGCAGTGGTTCCTTCCTACATCTTGTTGACAGGCAGTGGTTCCTTCCTACATCCTGATGACAGGCAGTGGTTCCTTCCTTCACTCTGATGACAGGCAGTGGTTCCTCCCTACATCCTGATGACAGGCAGTGGTTCCTGGCTACATCCTGATGACAGGCAGTGGTTCCTTCCTACATCCTGCTGACAGGCAGTGGTTCCTTCCTTCATCCTGATGACAGGCAGTGGTTCCTTCCTTCATTCTGATGACAGGCAGTGGTTCCTTCCTACATCCTGCTGACAGGCAGTGGTTCCTTCCTTCATCCTGCCGACAGGCAGTGGTTCCTTCCTACATCCTGATGACAGGCAATGGTTCCTTCCTTCATCCTGATGACAGGCAGTGGTTCCTTCCTTCATTCTAATGACAGGCAGTGGTTCCTTCCTACATCCTGATGACTGGTAGTGGTTCCTTCCTAGATCCTGCTGACTGGCAGTGGTTCCTCCCTACGTCCTGCTGACAGGCAGTGGTTCCTTCCTTCATTCTGATGACAGGCAGTGGTTCCTTCCTACATCCTACACAGTTGGTGGTTCCTTCCTACATCCTGCTGACAGGCAGTGGTTCCTTCCTTCATTCTGATGACAGGCAGTGGTTCCTTCCTATATCCTGATGACAGGCAGTGGTTTCTTCCTACATCCTGCTGACAGGCAGTGGTTCCTTCCTTCATCCTGATGACAGGCAGTGGTTCCTTCCTTCATTCTGATGACAGGCAGTGGTTCCTTCCTACATCCTGCTGACAGGCAGTGGTTCCTTCCTTCATCCTGCCGACAGGCAGTGGTTCCTTCCTACATCCTGATGACAGGCAATGGTTCCTTCCTTCATCCTGATGACAGGCAGTGGTTCCTTCCTTCATTCTGATGACAGGCAGTGGTTCCTTCCTACATCCTGATGACAGGCAGTGGTTCCTTCCTAGATCCTGCTGACTGGCAGTGGTTCCTTCCTACGTCCTGCTGACAGGCAGTGGTTCCTTTCCTTCATTCTGATGACAGGCAGTGGTTCCTTCCTACATCCTACACAGTTGGTGGTTCCTTCCTACATCCTGCTGACAGGCAGTGGTTCCTTCCTATATTCTGATGACAGGCAGTGGTTCCTTCCTACATCCTGCTGACAGGCAGTGGTTCCTTCCTTCATCCTGATGACAGGCAGTGGCTCCTTCCTTCATTCTGATGACAGGCAGTGGTTCCTTCCTACATCCTGATGACAGGCAGTGGTTCCTTCCTAGATCCTGCTGACTGGCAGTGGTTCCTTCCTACGTCCTGCTGACTGGCAGTGGTTCCTTCCTTCATCCTGATGACAGGCAGTGGTTCCTTCCTTCATTCTGATGACAGGCAGTGGTTCCTTCCTACATCCTGATGACAGGCAGTGGTTCCTTCCTAGATCCTGCTGACTGGCAGTGGTTCCCTCCTACGTCCTGC